TAATATTTAAGAGAAATATTAATAATATTTTGTTTTTTAACACTACGTTAGTAGAAAAGATGGCTGGGCACATGGGGATGGGGGGTTGGTTCCGAGGCAGAGGGCAGATTTTGGCCCTCACCTGTATCACTTGTATCAATTGTATCACTATCCACCACAGACGCTTGCAGGGCCTCTTTGTCAAACCCCTCAAAGTCCATATCCTCACTATCACTGACTTGGGCCGGCTGTGGTAGGTGGCGGGTGAAGAACTCGGTAATGTTTTGTTGACTGGGCAACCTTGTGTGTACCCTGCCCGCGCTGCTTCCCGCGTAAATGATGGAATGATCCGTGTAAATAAAAATTGTCGGTCTGGCAAGGTGCCGTGTAAATGACCAAACGCGTAAATCGAGACTATACTGTATATTTATATTAATAATAAATCTTTATTTAATATTTAGCTCTGTAGTTGCTGAAGCTCCTTTCCAAATTCAGTGAGGGTAACTTATATTTAAATGTAAAAGGAATACAGTATCTTCTACTTTTTTATGAATATGGTTTCAATTGAAATTACTTTTATTGAAGCTGAGAAAAATGGCTGATGCCCACCATATGTATTTCATAATGGTCTCACAATTGTGGTCTGGAAACATATTTAAGGAAACAGAAAAGTAATTTTCTCCTAATATAAATAATAAGAACCTGTTTCTCAATTTACTTTTTTTCCTGGCATTTCTCCTTGCACAGTCAGAAAACTCACCCATCATAGGTGCTACATGATGATGATACACACATCACACTAGCCCACTCAGGCTGTCTGTTTTGTTCAGATATACAGTACACCCCCCCCCCTGTATTGTGTTCTTTTTTTCTTCCTTTTTAATGCCTTTCTTCTGCAATCGTCTCCTAGTTGCCCTTAGCTTCTACAACTTTGTGAATTCTAACTTATTTTATTCTACACTCCACCTGACACAGCCTCCCTCCCTCTGAACTATTACATCTGACACAGCCTCCCTCCCTCTGAACTATTACTTTCTACACTCTCCTTTCCACAATCTCTTATGGCCCAATATTGATGATGCAGGAACCTACTGCAGTAGAATTATCCTATCCATCAACAGTTCTCTGTTAAGGCTCTTACATTTCAACTGTTAATTTGTTGCAGTGAAATGCAGTACACTCTTGTATCTTCAGTTAATAATCTCCCTTAATTGAAAATTCATGGCCACATGCTCAAGAAAGATGGTCTCTGATATTTGCACATTCCTTTGCCTATATGATGATTTCACATTATAAGATTTCCCATAATTGAAAATTCTGTTTTATGTTTTATTGGTATTAAGTTCTTTATTTTTTTAAGTTTATTATTTCATCCGAGACAACTATTTTATCATTTTCAATTTCTTTTACTTTTGTTTGTTTCCTCAACTTACTGGTACCTTTCCCTTACTCCAGTAACTTCCGCTCCTAATGTATATTTTGGTTTCTGTATAGTACTTAATTTTCATTTTACGCTTGTTAAGCTGAACCCTTTATGCTTCTCTAATCTCTTTATGAAATGCATATTTATAGTGTCGTTCTGTTGCTGTATTTCCATTTCTCACTGTTACAATGCTCATACTAATTCTTGATCAGTGAGAATATTTTGCCACCTTTATAACCCAAGTACAGTACCTGAGTGTGTAATTTGATGAATTATCAGCTCTATTGACTTATGTATGCACAAAAAATATCACATTCTTTTTATGAATATGGGCAACTCTTGCGACTATCTAAACCATGGTTATCTTTATGTTGGAAATTTGTATTAGTTATACGTAGTCTGTTTATACCGACAACCAACAAAAGCTTTCACTATCATTGTCTTTATATGGATCCCATACCTGTAGTTCACTTTTCTTTCTATTGCTGACCTCCCATTCACATTGTGAGCTTTATTGATGTTGTTACAAGTGGTCCTATACAGTACGGTAAGTGTTTCTTAGCTCACATATCCAAAAACTTCTGTATTTATTTTTCTTCAGAACTCTGGTGCCATCTCTCTCAAAACTATCTATACAGTACTGTATTATATCTTTCACTGTTTTCTAAACTAATTCTTAATATCCTTTTTTGCTGCATCTTAGTTATTTCTTTTCATCTTCTTTCACACATAATTAGAAGGTCAGACTTTGTACAGTATTGATCTATTCATCTAAATATTTACTCAGTCATAGGAATTGACAGCATTTGTAAGTAACATTAGGCACACTTACTGTACCTCCTATTTCTGAACTCAATAGAACTCTGGGTAGAAAAACTCTTATATTATTGTCAGTGTAATATCCAGTAAAATGTTCAAGATGGTTGTTTGAGCTTGTTTCTAAATTTGGGATTATTATTATATGTAATATGCCTCCCCAAATTATACTGAGTAATGTATAGTGTATTTCATTTATTGCTTTTATAAGTTGATTTATTGCTAGCCAGTATGTGTATAGTCCTCTTCCTTTAATTGAAATTACAAAATAAATTAGCCCAGTTTTATTGTTTTTTAGAAGGATCAGAATGTGAACTCAAGTGAGAATGATGGCGAGTTTAACGGAAATAATTGGAGGTAGGGAAGTGGAGAAGACTGTGGGAAGTTCTGTATAGTGTGTTAGGAATAAATGAAAGTGGAGAGAGTGATGGAGATCTGTGGTGTGAGAAGGTTGATATTTGAAAATACCTTTATGTGACTAGAAAAAATCTTAATTATACATGGAAGTTGGATAATTGAGAAGATATGGTATTGTTAAATGATGGGTTGGATGTGCATGGAGTATTTGACCATTAGTAGTGGGATAAACTATGAGTGGATGACTAATTTAAAAAATAAATTAAAATACTCCCAGCCAGTGGTTCCCAATTTTTATTTTTTAATCATTACTCCATTTTCATATTGCTATCTTTATAATGGGCTGACCTCACCTGATTCCAGTAGTAACTGGTTCTGTGCTGTACTTGGATCATCAACTGATATCATGGAAGCATATTTACAGATCATCAAGTTTTGTTGTTCACTCAACTCTGCTTCCATTGTTAGAAATAACATATTAATAATTTGTGAGGTGATGGGGCTGCTTTGCTACAGGCAGATGCCCAATCTGGGACTTGGCAGTGGATAGTGCCAATGTGGCATCATATGACATATCCAACTTGTTCTGGCTCTTTGTTTTCCTGTGGAGGAAGCAGGAAAAACTGACCTTGCACACTTCACAATAAAGTAAAATGCCATAATTTGTCCTCTCCTAATAAAAAATCACTCATAATTCATAATGTTTTGCCGCTTAGAAATATTACAATATACAGTACAGTTTAAAAATTTTCTTAATATTTGGTAAAATTTTGAATTATGAGATATTTACAAATATGTATGATGCACATGTCGCCATGGGATGCCTCAGTGTAAACTAGTATATGCATGTTGGTCAGTTCATATGGGTCAGTCATGGAGTGCACTTAATCTATGGTCTACCACGCAAGCTTTATCCACTTGTTTTTCCATCATTGCCCAGTGTTTGAGCAGTTATCGCTGATGACCCTAAATCTGGAAATTAAAATTTTGATTGGGGCAGATAATAGAAAAATACCATTGTTTTTCCCTCGGGAGTAGGTGTCCTTCGTAATTTGTAAAATCTCATAATTCGTAAGGGCTAGAGCCGCTGTTATTTTGAATTATGGGGGTTTTACTGTAGTTGGTCATTCTGTTCATGCACTATTTACAGTACTTCCTGTATTTTTTGGCAGAATACCCAATTACCACAATAAAAAAGTCAAATTTTTACCCCTAGTTTGGGAACCACTGAAGCTAATGAAAGAGAATTTAACTTAAAGTTTGAAGTAATGATTAAGATAAATAAGGCTGGCACATATATGAGGGTGAAGGGGTTAAAGAAGAATGGGAACAGTAAAAGTGTCTTGTTTAGTCCAGCTGAGGCGTTTGGGTATAAGAATATATACTGTACTGTATACAGTATATTAAAAAAGGTGAGGGAAGGGTTGACAGTTCTCATGAGGTAGGAGGGAAAGGTATTTGTTTGTTAGCTGTATGACAGGAGTGATGGAGAAAGGAAAAATACAGGGAAATTAGGAGGGAATTAAAAGAGTGGTGAACAAATATGAAATGGCTGAAAGATTGCCACAAATGTTTAGATAAAACAGAAAGATGTTCTGTTCTGGAGGGAACAATGTAAAGTGAGAACGAAATAAAAATGGTATTTAAGGATGAAGGAGGGAATTAATTGAAGAAGAAAAAATGGGACCAGAGTAAAATATTTTGTACAACAGATAATTGATAAAGGTGAGGAAGAGGAAGAATTATCCTGTTAGGATATCATGGATTGAGCAGTGTCATGAAAAGTGAAGTAATTGAGACATTATGTAAACTAAACAATATTAAGGTACAGGAGTGGCTGAGTGGGATATGGGACATTATGTAAACTAAACAATATTAAGGTACAGGAGTGGCTGGAACCATAGTTATGGATGAGAGTTAAAATACTGATATGACAGAAGGCAAGGACTGTGTTTAGTCTTGTGTATTACAGAGGACTGATGCAAGAGCATGTATAGTGCCCTGGGTGAAGGGAAAGATGGTGAGAATGGGTGCAGGAATTATACGTGAATCTTTGTTCAGTATACCAGTACAGTAGATGATAGATATTGAGAAAATTATAGCAAAAGCAGACTGTAAATTAAGAGAGGAGCAGTATAGTAGTGTGGGTTTAAAACAAGATAAAATAATATATATATATATATATTACCATATATATATATATATATATATATATATATATATATATATATATATATATATATATATATATATATATATATATATATATATATATATATATATATATATATTTTGTTTACTTTTAGAAAGGCTTTATTTAAACTAGAATAGTTCAGTAGCTGGTGTTTATACTGAATGGATTGGAATTACTTTTTACAAAAATTATGTTATGTTGATGTATACCAATTGATTTTTGTAACAACAGAGTCAGAACACAACAGATGGGGAGAAAATTAAAGAAATGAAAAAGGAACTGGAAGATGCGAGACGGAAGCTGAAGGAACGAGGAACAGTCGAGGCAAACAGAGCATTTGAAATGGAAGAGTTAGAAATAAATCTTCGAGCAAGTGTAGAAGAGCTGCAGGCAAGAGTAAGTAGATTTGACACTGGTGGTGTGAAATAGTAAGTTGTTTGCATTAAGAACTGTATAGTATGCTCTATGTCTTTAGTTAGTTACTTACACTGATATAATATCTTCCTGCTATACTCTATTTCTTCCATTAAAAACTGAATATATAAAAAGCTCCTTCATGAAATGTATGACAAACTTATAAAGTGGTACAGGTCTGACATTGCTTGTAAACTTAAGTGTAGTTTATAGTAATGATTTATATCTCCTTGGCAAGGGGGAAGTAGCAGTGTGTGTGTGACTATGTATGCTGGCTACAGAATTACATTCCATCTCCTTGGATATTATTTCTCGTTTTCCTTCATTTGGCGATAATTTTACTTAACCAGGGTTTTCAAGAAAACATCCTCATTGCTAAATGAAGCATACCTGTACATTTCATTGTTGATTTTCCTAAGCCTAATAGAGTGCTAATCATTGGCCACTCGACTGGAATTTTTCTTTACTTAACTTAGCTGATGGTAAAGTGAGCACCAAGCATAGTTAGCTGCTGAACCTAGAGTTATCACAACACTTCTTACACCAATTTTTGATTATATATATATATATATATATATATATATATATATATATATATATATATATATATATATATATATATATATATATATATATATATATATATATATATATATATATAAGTTAGAAGGTCGTTTTAAATCCAAACCATTGTTTCAATGGGTTTTTGGTACTGGTTCCAGCTCACCGAAAATTTCCTAAATTCAACAAAAATGGTAGAAAAGTTCACTTACTTTGAGTGTGTGTAGAAGGCTCCTGGATGATGATGATGATGATGGGATTTAGAATGGGGGTGGAGGAGAAGGAAGAAGAGCATTGGGGTGGAAGAGAAGTCACCCCATTGCCATTTCACCCATAAAATTTTAGCTCTTGGTGTAATTCAAGATTATTTTCTTTTAAATCAACACTGCACTGCATTATATATTGTCAATATGTAAAATATATTTCAAAATGACCAATAATTTGCTTGAAACAAAAAAAAGCTTTAGTTGAAGAGAGTCTCAAGCAGATGTTACCTCCAGTGAAAACAGAGAGAGAAACTCTGTTGCTGTGTTAAGAGCTGGATGCGCGCATTAAACTAGTCACTTTACCTTCAATTATGTTCAATAATTGTTAAATGACTAAAAATTGAATATTAAACTTTAAAATTATTGAATAGTATAAACTTCTTGATATTTACAAAATAGTAAGAATTTAAGCCTAGAACCGATTAATGTATTGGCGGACTGATACTAAAGCTGTTGCCGGTCAGTGCAAGCGAAAACATGTTGGTCGGTTAGTAAGAAAGTTAACACGAAATTTTTTAGTTAACGAATTGAAGATCCTTATGGAAGGCAGTTCGTTAATCAATTACGTTAACCGAGGTGTTAGTTAAGCGAGGTCTGTATATATATATATATATATATATATATATATATATATATATATAATATATATATATATATATATATATATATATATATATATATATATATATATATCAGTTAGAAGAAAACTAATTATACATTCAATATAAAATATATTTCAAAATGACTCCCTTAGAAAAACAACGTTTTGTTGTGAGATCAGCGATCTAGCCTGTGAGCTAGCTGCCATTCAGTTAAACTATTCTGTATCCTTTACAATTACGTTTCACAATTGTTAAAATAAAAAATTGAATATTAAACTTTTTAAAATTATTGAATAGTATAAACTTCTTGATATTTACTAAAATAGTAAGGAATTTAAGCCCTAGAACCGATTAATGTTTTGGCGGACTGATACTAAAGCTGGTTGCCCGGTCAGTGCAAGCGAAAACATGTTGAGGTCGGTTCGTAAGAACTTCGTTAACCGAATTTTTGTTCGTTAACCGAATTGAAGATCCTTATGGAAGGCAGTTCGTTAACCGAGGGGTCACTGTACAATATCTTGTGACTACCAAAAAACACTGGATTACCCTTACAACCTGTGGGTTTTTTCACGATACAAAATACCATGTTCTTCACCAATAATACCCAGAGAGAGAGAGAGAGAGAGAGAGAGAGAGCTGCTTCTCCATGTTCCAATACGTTTTCACTAACTTATTTCCATTTTGTTTACATTCTTTATTTAAACCACTGCAATATTCTCACATTGAAAACTGTTTCACAAAATCATATAATAATGTTCTTTAATCATATCAGTTACTAAAACATATTACAAATCAGAATAACAAAACATATATCACAATCTTAAGAAGACTTTAACCTTCACAGTGATTATAGGGTGTCAAGAGAAAACAAGACACTTAATGGGATGACTGAGGAAAACATAAGTACATAACAGTACAGTACATATACACTACAACTCATAAATCACTACTGTAATGTGATACAGGTGATTAGTTATTATCTCTTGTGCAAAATATATGATGTTTATATTCAAATTATTTGCTGTCTTGCAAGGATTCCAGCAATGTAAGTTATATTCTCCTAAATTTAGTCTGTGATATTATATAAGATACAAACTTAAAGCCTATAACCACCAAACCCTGGCTGGGAGGGGGGAGGTGGGGTGACAGTGACACATTTGACTGTTGGGGCCGAAGGTCTATAGCGCATCTTTTCTCAGCTGAGAAAAGATGCCCCGCCCCCTCCCCAAGAGTTACAGTTGATTGGCTGTTGCAAACCTGTCTGATTTTGTCCTGAAGTAATGATGTATTTCGAAATGAGTTTATTCATAATCGTTGGGATGGCCGTTTCTGACGAGAAAAATATTTAGCAAAATTATATAAAGATACATACATTCATTATTTGAAACAGGAGCAAGTAGGAAGTTTATCAGAAGTATTATACATGAATTAACTGTCAAACTCTGGTAGCAAATTCACGCTTTCGGAGGATGCATTTAATATATATTCTTATTTTTACCCACAGCGCCGTGTAAATAATGCTATTTCTAACCACACTCTGCAAAATGCAGTGTACTTAGCAAATGCTGCAGCTTCTCAGAATGGGGGGGGGGGGTTACTACTAAGAGCAGAGACGTTACCGAGTACAAATTCTGGCTTAAATGTCATGTACACTAATAATGACACGTTCCTTGATAAGAGAGAGGAGTTTGAAACACTACTAAGACTACACCAACCAGATATTGTAGGAGTCATCGAACTGTTGTACAAGAACAGGAGAATCGACCCAGAGGAATGTGAGTTCAGTATGACTGGATATGACTCATTTACGAACCTTTCTCAAGAAACTTGCATGAGGGCTTTGGTTATCTATGCTAGGCAAGACCGTAGAGCCAGCCAGGCGAGGATACAGGGAGAGGATGTTTTTGAAGGGTCAAGTGGTGTAAAATTAAAATAAAGCGAAGGGACTTTCTTATTGTTGGGTGTATCTACAGATCCTGAAACTGTGGCCCACTAAATCAAAGGAACTAAAGAGCCTTAGTAGACAACGTGGCGATGCTCAACCCTAGCCACCTCCTTATCATGGGGGACTTTAACTATGGCGACATCGACTGGAGAAACGAGTCCACCCCAAATGACTTGAATAGCCTTGCCATTCTTTTTGTAGAAACCCTGAGAGATAATTTTCTGTTCCAACATGTTAGAGACCCAACACACTACAGAGGGGAGCAAACACCCAAGCCACTAGACCTCATCATAACAAACGAGGAGGGTATGGTGGCCAAACTGGAACACCTTGCCCCAGTTGGCACCAGTCACCATCCAGTGTTGTCAATCAGATTTAACTGTTACCTAGTTCAAGATAAGGCCAGTCCAAGGTGCAAATATTACAAGGAAAACTACAACGGGATGAGGGAAGAGATGAGGGATATCAACTGGCCTGACTCATTAAGGTACAAGAACGCAGACACTACGCTGAATATCATAACTAGTAAAGTGACCCATCTGATCGATAAATATATACCCAAGACCAAACCCAGTGCCTCTAGGAATACCAGGGGATATCTACACATGAACCACGCGGCGGTCGACAAAGTTAAGAAGAAAACCCAGAAATTCAAGACGTGGGTTGGGTCAAACGATGAGCAGGACAGGAGGATGTATGCAAGAGCCAGAAACCAACCAAAGATAGAGTGTAGAAGGGCTGAAAAGGAGTTCCAGAGGCTGGTTGCAAGCGAGGTCAAGTCAAACCCAAAGACATTTTACCGCTATGCAATGTCGAAATTAAAATAGCGAGTAGGAGTATTAGACCTGAGGCTTGAAGATGGTAGTTACGCAGATTCTGACCAGGATAAAGCTGAGGCATTGAACAGCTTCTTTTCCACGGTGTTCACAAGAGAGGATGCGAATAACCTTCCTGCAGTTGAGGACAGACGGTTCGACACAGCACTGACCCACATTGTGTTCACAGAAGAGGGTATTAGAAATAAACTGTCAAAGCTAAAGGTCCATAAGAGTCCCGGCCCTGACATGGTGCATCCTATAGTGCTAAGAGAGTTGTACAACAAGCTTGCTGGGCCCTTGAAAATCCTGTTTTGTAAGTGCCTGGATGAACAAAAGGTCTCCAGTGAATGGAAAGTGGCTTATGTGAGTCCTGTCTTCAAGAAGAGCGATCGTCACTCCACGAACAACTATAGACCGGTGAGCCTGACCAGCATAATATGTAAAGTACTTGAGAGTATTATCAGAGGTGCCGCAATGGAACATCTACTACGAAACAACCTTGTAAAGGATTGCCAACACGGTTTTATGCCGGGGCACTCCTGCTTAGCACAATTGCTCAAGGTATTGGATATTTGGACCCATATTCTGGAACGGGGTGGTAATATCGACAATATTTACCTAGATTTTGCCAAGGCTTTCGACAGTGCACCCCACGAAAGGCTGAAAATCAAACTGGAAGGGTACGGAATTCGGGGAAATGTCCTAGTGTGGATAGAAGACTTTCTACATGACCGCAAGCAGTGTGTGGTGATTAATGGCACAAAATCATCATCCGTACCTGTTACAAGCGAGGTACCACAGGACAGTGTATTGGACCCGCTGTTGTTTGTTTGTTTTTTCATAAATGACATGCCTGACGTACACTCCTCCATACAAATGTTTGCCGATGACGCCAAGTTATTTCGGGAAATCAAGAACCAGGCGGACTGTGAAGAGCTGCAGAAGGACCTCTGTGGGCTCCAAGAATGGTCGAAGAAATGGCTGCTGAGATTCAATGTCACGAAGTGCAAGAGGATGCACCTGGGGCGTACCAATGGAAAGGAGGCGTATCATATGTTCCAACGGGATGAAGAAACTGCACTATTTGAGACTGAATGTGAGAAGGACCTAGGTATGTATGTTGACAATGAGCTGAAGTTCTCGGGCCATTGCTTATAGAAGGTAAATCAGGCAAAATTATTGGGTCTTATAAGAAGGTCGTTAAGATATCTAAACGGTCTCTCCCTCGTAACGATCTTTAAGAGTGAAGTGCTTCCCCATCTGGAGTACTGTCACCCCATCTGGTCCCCGTGATATGCTAGGGACTGTCAGTTGGTTGAAAATGTTCAAAGGAGGGCCAGCAGACTGGTGCCTGCACTTTGGCACCTCAGCTACCCTGAGAGATAAGGAGCGCCTGAACTTGCCTAGCTTATACTACAGACGGGCAAGTGGTGATCTAATTGAGGTGTATAAGCATCTCAAGGGGCACTACTCAGTCGAGTGTCCTTACTTGGCGCTGGTGGACACTCGCCTCACAAGGGGTCATAGCTCAAGATTGAAGAAGCCATAAGTCCAGAAAACTGTGAGGGCAAACTTTTTCGGAGTGAGAGTTGTAAACTCTTGGAACAATTTGCCAGAAAGTATTGTGACAGCGCCGAGTGTGAGCTCTTTCAAGACAAGACTTGACCAACACTGGAGCAGGTTCGGGTACATTCAGGAGCTAGTGCATGTCCAGTACCTGCCAACAGTGCGTAACAGAGACGTTACCGATTGCCCAAGCGGCTAATGAGCCGATCAGTGGTGAAGAGGATAAAAGTAAAATGTAAAATTAATAAGGCATACTAAGACAAATTATGTATCAGTAATACTACATAATGCAAAAACAAAATTTTAAATGATCAGAATCACATTGAAATATTACATGAATGTTAACAGAGGCGGGAAAAATATGGATTTGTTTGCAGTTATATTTCCCGCCTCTGTTGACGGTCGTGTAATATTTCAATGTGATTCTGATCTTTTAAAATGTTGTTTTTGCATAATGTAGTATTAATGAGATTTAATTTGTCTTAGTATGCCTTATTGTGGGTAGTATGAATTTGCTACCAGAGTTCAACAGTTAATTTATGTATAATACTTCTGATAAACTTCCTACTTGCTTATGCTTGAAATAATGACTGTATGTATCTTTTTATAATTTAGCTAAATATCTTTCTCGTCAGAAACGGTCATCTCAATGATTATGAATAAACTCATTAAGAAATACATCATTTCTTCAGGACAAAATCGGACAGGTTTGCAACAGCCAATCAGATGTAAATTTTGAGGAGGAGGCAGGGCCTTTTCTCAGTTGGGAAAAAACGTGCTTTAGTGAAGTATTTATTTGTTTATTTATGTCCTTTAGAGTGAGTTTTTGTTTTTTGCTTATAAAAGTCACAGAAGTGACTGGGGAGAATGTAATTTACATTGCTGGAATTCTTATAAGATTGAATATAAACATGCTATAGTTTGCACTAGACAAAATTTTTAATAATCATTTAGTACATTATAAAGAGTACATGTACAGTACAGCTTTGCCATTAGGACAGTGTGTGCATGTAAATGAGTAAAAATATATGAAGAAAGTTACATATATTACTATATCGAGCCAAAAATATTAGTTGAAAAACTTTATGTAGACAGAGCTTGGATGGCGGGGTTGGAGTTTTGGTGTGGTAGCGTGTGGTGTGCTATGACCCATTTTGAAAATTTTTGTCTGAAATTGGAAATGGTAGCCTAACCCCGGTGTAATCTGCGTATAGCTTATAGCTGAAACCGCGTAAGAAAAATAAGCGAAAGTTGCGAGCGTACTGTACAGTACTTCACTATAAGCTATACTTCACTATAAGAAATATGGTAAACATGTTCTGTTTTTCAGATAATGGATATGGAAGGAGAAAAAGAAACAATGGAAAATAAGTTATCTAAACAGATGGAACAACTCAAGAATTTAGAGACTAACAACGAAGCCCTGAAGAATGACATAAATGAACGGGAACAAAAGATCAAGTTAATGGAGTCCAGCAGGGATGAAGACCAGGTCCGTTCTAGAGAGAGGTCTACAGAAATTACTGAGAAAGACTCGAGAATACGAGAGTTACAGCTAGAGCTGGATAAAAACGTGAAGGAATTGACTGATGCATCACAACAAATAGAGGCTCTCTCAAAGGAAACAACAAAGGAAAGAACTGAAAAAGAAGCCTTACAAAAAGATATAACAGGTTAGTACAGTATTGATTTTTTTTATTCTGTAAATTTTGAAACTGGACATGCATATTCTACCTGTAAACAGTAAATAAATCTGATGAATCCTAATTTTAAGGTATGCTATTAACAGAGATCCAGGAACAGTTGAAGTCAGGGTCATCAGAAGTCTCGGATCTCTTAGGTGAGATAAGCAAACTGAAGGAACAGCTTAGAGGAACAACCAATCAACATCAAGAAGCCACAGAAAAGGTAATTTGATATAATACTGTATTTGTTTCTGTATTTTCTGCAGATGTGCTAGGCTTGGCATAATACATTTTTGCACCTTATGCAGAGTACTGTACTGTACTGTGTATAGAATTTCATTTGCCAGATAAGCATAATACCTTAAACCACTTTTCATCAGTTTATTGAATACCTCTTGCATTTTTCAGTAGAAGTCAGTAGTACAGTACTGTATATCTCATGGAGAGTTTACAGTTTCACATGCTTATATATTACAGTACAAATATTAATAAAAGGTTTATTGTGGTAATGATGTATATACTGTACTGTATTCTGTAGGAACTTAATTTCTTTAAGATTCTAAAAGAGTTAATTACAACGAAGAAAAATAATTTGATTAAAAAGTATTAATATTACGTACACTTGATTTTTCATAGGATATGCAGTTTATATACAGGTATTCCCTGAGTTATGAATAGGTTACGTTCCTGGTTAGGTTAGGTTAAAACACAACCCTGCCCATAAAAAACAACAATGCAGTATTATCCCATGCATAGCAAAAAATGTAACTACTGTAAATAAAGTGACATTAAACAATATATTTAATGTAAAAATATATAATTTTATTACAGACTTTTTAGCATTTGTAACATGGGGACTGCCTGTATCATTAAAACATCAATTGTAAACTACTGTAGATTGTGATGCACAAACAGCTTGTGAAGAGGAATTATGGTGAATTTTGATAGAGTAACCCCACTAGACAGTAGGTTAATAAGTTCATGTGTTGAGCCCCTCATCAGTGACTTAAAACTTGCTTCACGTGTCATGGAATGCTTGTCATGGAGAAAGTGTTTAGGAATACCATTGTTTTTTTTAAAGGGAATAGGCATATAGAGTTTTAACATTTGAGTAGGACATGTAGTTTTGATTGAGGAATACTGGTTATGAGGAAGCAATATTTGTGATACATCATTTCCTTTATGAATTTCTGAGGGGTGACACAATAGATAATCCTCTAGGATGTGATGTCTTATTTAAACAAGCTTCAATAAAGGGTAGCATCATCCTCACACCTCCACAGTACAGTATATCATCATGTGCTCACCACCTTCCCATCCAGGGATGATAGCTGGAATCTGCTGACTCCAGCTCATTTTACTCCATTTTTGTAGTACTGTACAGGTATTTCTAGACTTAGAGAAGGCATTTGGCAGGGTACCATGTGAAGAAGTAAAATGGGCCATAAGAAAGGTAGGGGGTCAAGGATTGTCTTATTTGAGTGGTTATGGCATTATATGAGGGCTCCAAAATATACTGTGAGAGTAAATGGTGTGGAAATTGAGAAATATGAGAATTTTTTTAGGAGTCCGTTGTTCCGAGTCTCTTCTGTTTATCATGTGGAGGCAAATATCACAGGACATTAGGACTGGTCTGCCCTGGGCAATGTTGTCTACTGATGACTTAGTGGTGGTAGCAGATACTATTGATGGGGTAGTGGAGAAATTTAAGAAATAGAAGGGTGGAATAGAGTCAAAGGGTTTGCAAGTGAATATGATGAAAACAGAAGTATTGATTGGTAGTGTGGGTAAGGAACCCTTGGTGGAAAGTAGAAAATGGCCATGTGCTATCTGTAAGAAAGGTGGGTACGCCAGTGGCCGGAGAAAATACTGTAGTACAGTATTAGGAATATGTTCCTGGCTTGTGTCAATGAGTTCTGTTGTGTTACCTGGGTGACATGATCAGTGCTGGAAGGAGTGTTGAAGCTAGCTGAGTTTCAAGAGTCAGAAGTGGCTGGAGAAAGTTTAGGGAGTTGATGCCTTTATTGATGGCAAATTGACCTTTCCTTCAAAAGAAAGGAAAATGTATACAACTGGCATGAGAAGTTTGATGTTGTATGGCAATGAAACATGGATAGTTAAAGAAGAGGACATACAAAGGCTTGAATGAGCTAAAAGAGTGGCTGGGCATTAAGAGTCCTGATGATGTTTTTCACAGAGGTAGTCTGAGATAGTTTGGGCATGTGGAGAGAATGGATGAGGCCATTTGGGACAAAAGATGCTTGAGTCTAAATGGGGTTGGGAGGAGAGCCAGGGGTAAGCCAAGAATGACAAGGATAGAGGTTGTAAGAAATAATATTCGAGTTAAAAACCTGACGAGAGAGGCTGCAAGAGGCCGTTCACCATAGAGAGCTGTCATCTGGTAATTGTGGCTAACACACGCAAGTGTGGAAAAAAGCTGTAAAATGTTAATGATGAAGATAAATATAAGAAAGTGGAGTAGGCTTAATTTTTATGAATCAATTAAGAAGATTGAGATATTGAGAGAAGTTAAATTTTTTTGAGAAACAGACCAGATTGTTTGTTAAAAGTAATAGATTATGTGCAGGGTCACTCTGTTTTGACTTTATAATTAATGATAGGCCAGTTTGGCATAGTACCTTGAAAACTTAGAGGACTTGGCAAGTTAGTTGCCACATGACAAAAATAATTTTGGTTCCCATTTACTACATGTATGGTTATTGCATTTGATAGTAAACAAGATTATTAATCATATATTTTCTTGAATCTAACGGTTGCAAATACAGTAAATATTTTTACTTTTGCTAGTTTAGCACAGACATCTTAGGTTGTTGTTCCCGACAGTGATTGTTTTGTATCTTCCATACTTTTGGCACAGAAATGTAATACAGTACAGGTCATTTGGAAAGTGTAATTCTGTAAATATGAGACTTGTGTTGATGTATGCTGTGCTTTTGCACTTTTTATGTATTGTTAAAAATAGTAATAGTTGTTCTAAAGGAGTACGTGTACAGTCAGCTTTCAAGCATACACCATTCCCATCTATATTGCATGGAAATTGTTCAAGATCATCAGGATATACGTCACTTGTATTCTTTTTGTATGTTTCTGTCCTTTTATGTGTGTGTGTGTGTGTGTGTATCTGTTGCATGTTCACAAACAGTTCCATTTTTATGAATTTTTTTTGTTCTTTTCTGTAGATTGCGTCACTGGAGAACCATAAGTCAAAGATAGAGGTGGAGCTGCAGACTGCCATTTCTACAGTAACTGACACTGAAAAGAAGCTCACTCAAGTTACTTCAAACTTTAAACAGAAAGAGGAGCAGTTACAAAATTTCATGGTAGGATTTCAATTCTTCTTATTGATTTATACATTATGTGCCAAATATTATATCTGTCATTTGCTTGCTAATGCAGAAAGAGACCATGTAAAAGGTGACACATTTATTGTAGCTTATATTCTGGTGTGCAAGACCATTTTTGAAACTTGAAAAAAATATCCTCAAAAACTGGGTGTCATCATATATGCTAAATATGAACCTTAAATCATATGCTGTACCACATTTTTTACATCACAGTTGCACCTTTAAACTAAACAATGAATATCCAGGAAAAAATATTTGAAGCTGCTGCAGTTTCCTCAACAGTACACAGTGCTACCAAATCTTACTCTCCCTTGTATCTTAAACTACCTTTTATTAACAGTTTCCCTTTAGTGTTTTTTCCTAAGGAACAATTATTATTGAACTAAACATTATTATCCATTTTGGTAAGGGTTTTATGAGGTTATAGTTGTAAACACTCACAAAATAATAAGACAGTGAACACATGTAAGTATTGTTTATAACTTTCATAGCATCTGTTTTGTACTCATCTGAAGATTTGTTACAGCTGCATCTACACCATAAAAAACATCAAGCTTCAAAACATAGCATCCAGTACAGTATATTATTCATCACACCCTTTCAAATATAAATGCATTTTTTATTTCACAAAAATACTGGTAAATAAATAAACTTTTGTATAAGCAGTAAATAGTCACAATTACCAAGACAATATAGTACTGTATTAAACTATGTTGCATAATCTGGGTACTTAGCTGAGAAACTGTTTAAATCTTTTATATCTTATCAAATAACAAAACAAGTTCAAGATAGCCATATTACCTGCACATATGATGCAGCAAGTACAGTATTACCTCTATGCTGATCTTATATAAGTAATATCCCCATTAGCCGGAAAATTTAAATCGGCGTGGATTTTTTCCTGAATACTTTTCTCAATTCCGGGTACACAAATGAGTTTCTGAGGTTGAAAATCAGCTACATTTTCTGGCTAGATTCCCCCCAAATTTTAGAAACTCTGTCCACAATTATCTTTCCTGTGTCTGAGAACAAATTCAGAGGATGAAATAATGTGCAATTTCCAGAAAATTTCTGAGAAAATCCCTCCAATTCTTTATGCTCCTGGCCTGAGGACAAAGATTCCGGGAGTGATAAAAATTTTGTAGTGCTCCGCCGTGTCCTCACGTGCTAGGTGCGTGGGTGGGAAGACTGCTTGGGTAACTTGGGCCTAGGTTTGCACGCTGCAGTTGGCTAATGCTGTGCTGCCATGTGTTTGCATGGGATGTTTGTGATAGGATGATGCATTTCCTACCTTATCTCCTCTAAGTCTAGTTCATGAGGCACTTTTTTCATAGTTCTCTGCCATTTAACAAGCCAAGAATACAATGTTAAAGCAGTGTAAAGTGGTAAAAAGTGATTACCGTTATATATACTATACTGTACTGTACATTCGGTATGTGTGTTAAAGTACCATTTGTACTGGAAAAGGGAAACAAAGGAGTACCTTAGCCTTTGTCTTTATTCAAGACATCTTTCTTTGGGTCATGAGACCCACTAATCCCTCACTCCGACAATGGGTGGCCTGACATTGCACCAGGTCAGTAATATGAGACCAATAAATCCCCCATCCAACCTCCATTGCAAATGAGAGATGAGCTTCTATACAATGGGTGACCTGACATTGCATCAGGTCAGGTCAGTAACATGAAACCCACCTCCATATGCTGAAAAATTTACTCCAGCCATATTATAAAGAATTCTATATTATAATGTAATGTTGTGCTCTGTGTGTTTTGTATTCCAGAATTGTTATATCTTGGATTAATTTGGACATGGGTTAGGCAGCATGGCATTCACATCATTTTACCTTTGGTATTTTATCTGGTGGAATGAGTGAATAAAATTTGGTAATGTCTTTGGTTAGAATCAAACATAATTTTTCTCTGCCCTACTTTTATCTCAGGTGACTCTTCAGAAAACAGAAACATCTCTTAAAAGTGAAGTGGAAGCAAGAGCAGCTGAGAGTGAGGCAGCAGGAAATAAGTATTTAGTGACGGAAAGAGAATACAATCAGAAATTACAGGAATTGAAAGAACAAATTAAAACTATGGTAAGTACACTTCTGTGATAATCAGAAACATATTTTTCTTTAGGTTCAGTCGAAATGGATGCTTAAGAACTAAATCACTGGATAGATATGATAAATGACAAAGAATTTAACACTCTCAGGGTGTTCATATGCATAAATGCATTTGGAAGAATTTATCACCTTGGGGTCTTCATACATGAAAATTTGTATGAACATGTGATGATAAAATTTTCTTATGTTAAAGTTGTGTATCGTTGCCATGTCTTAGAAAAAATGCCATTATGCATTGACAAACTGTACTACCGGTAATTTTTTTACAACTGCTCTTCTATAATTATTTAATGCTAAACATGTATGGTTACCAAGAAACAACTTTCATGATCTCATACACATATGATAATGCTGGTATAATGTCATGTATAAATATTTGTCGTATGGTTACTGATATTTGTTTTCTTCGACACACGTTGTCGTATGAAAAACTTATTTTATCAAGATTTCTTATCCAACACTATTTATAGATAATTTACATATTATTTTTTAGGGACAACCTACATTTTTCTATCTCATATAGTACACATGCTGACTAAAAATTTAGAAGTATCTGACACGCACAGATGAAGTGTGTTAAGGAGGATGTGAAAGCGGGGAACCTGAACGGCCCGCCACTGAGAGGTGACAAAATCCTGAATGATATCATGTGGAGAAGTTTGTTTGCTGAACAGTAACTGATGAAAATTAAGAATACAGTACACATATATGTATGAATGCAATTTTATGATCATCAATTAATCAAAGTACTGTGCTCATATATGAGGGTTGGTTACCACAGTCCTCCACTTAAAACATTCTCGGGCTGTTTTTACCTGTCCTCTAAGGTTTTGTATCTCTGGGAACCCAGTTTTTAATTTCAATCATCCATCCCAGTCCCTGCCCAAGTGACTCACAAATAACCCCACTAATTTATTAGTTAGTAACAACCTTTCTGCCAAACTGGTGTAATTTCTAAATATTCTTAGGGATGTACAGCCACAGGGTCGGATCAAGGCCGATGCAACTGATGCATTTGCATCAATCAAATAATTGACCTGTCGGTAATGTGATCTCATAGTCAGTGTTGACCTACATGGCCCACCAGCTTCTGACCATAGCTGTCACTTTTCGTACCTGAGGGGCAGATTTGACAAACCATTTCTTGGGATGGGATAATCGGAGCAGGGCCTGGGGGTGGGGTAAAGTCACAGTTAAGGATTTTTTTTATTTTTTTTATTTACGGGTATTAGCCCACCCGGACACAGGTCACTGACCCACATCAGGGCCCATATCACCTGAACTCCACCTGGGATTCCCCCTTGAGGCATCACGTGGCATCACCTTTGACAATGTCGGGTAACCAGGGCCAGATTAAGGATATGAGGGGCTCAGAGCTGGGTGTCATCCCGTTTGGATGATTCCCATCTTGACGATCATCTTTTCTGTGCGGTTTTTGCCATCCCACTTGGACGATTCCTATGTGGATGATTATGCTGTAAAAAAAAATGCGACTGCTGTATGGCAACAGTGCCGTACAAGTGGAGCAAGCTTACCAGCATACGCCCATAACCACATGATTGTATACATTAAACATCTTTACCCAATGTTTCATATTGCTATGCATGACTGGTATCAATATATATGTATATATTTTTTTTTTATCCTGGCAGTATACTGAATGGTCTCCTTCCAAAATATGTGTCTAATGTCAATGTTTGTCATCGTACAAGTAGATGGACATAGAGGTGTCATGGGGCTCTTAATGCTTCAGAATATTCCAGTTTAAACAACTGCTATTGTTGCAGTAAACGGCTGCTACAATTTTAATATTTTTTAAAGATTTCAATATCTCTGCATTTATTTTTATGGTTACAGGAAACCAGCATTACAACAAAATCGGCAGAGATTGGTGAATCTTCCCGACAGCTGGCATCAGCAGAGTCCAAAATTGCAGCTCTGGAAGAACAGAGAGATCAGTTGAAGGAGCAGGTCAATGCAAGCCTCTCATCATCATCTGATTCCTCCCAACAACTCACCAATCTGAACAACCAGTTACAAGAAAAAGGTAAACAGTTAGAGAAGGTCCAAGAGGTGCTTCGTGAAAAAGAATCTGCATTATCCCGAGAGCAGGCAGCCAGAGCAGATGATAACAATTGTGCTAGTAAACAGCAGCAACAAGAAAAAGATAAATATCATGAGGAATTAAAGCAGATGAAGGATAAGATCATGGAAATGGAAGTGAAGATAGGTACTAAGACAAAAGATATTGAGAATCTTAGGAAACAGCACGTAACTGACCAAGAAGAACTGACAAAGAGAAAGGACCTGGAGCTTTATGAGCTGCAGGAACAGGTGTTACTCAAGGAAGGAGAAGCATCTGAATTGGAGGTAAGGCCCTTGCTGTACACAATTAATTACCTTTTATTTATTATTGTCCCCCAAAAAATTTCCATACAAAAGTGACCTGTTATGAAACATTTAATAATGAGGAATTTTTCCTCATAAAAGTGAATGAAATTAGGAGTACAGTATATGCATTCCACCTTGTACAATAATATACCTTGAAATCTCAGCAAATATGGAGATACATTTCTAATGTTATTATTTGTTACCTTTGAGTGATTCTTGGCCTCTGAAACCAAACTAGATATTTCCATTTAAGTAAATTAAATTATTCAGTAATTCACCTTTTTTATAATTCACGATGTCTTCTGGTACCTAACCCTTGAATTATCAAGACTCCACTATTTTAAGATATTTAAATAAAAGATATTCTACATATTGGTAACTGCAGTACAGTGGTCCCTCAGTTAATGAACACAATTCATTCCACAGAGTCGTTCGTTAACTAAAAATTTCGTTAACTGAATCCATTGTATCAAAGGGAAATAGGGTAATTGGTTCCAGCTCACAGAAAAGTACATACAAAGTACAAAAAAAAAAATGCAGTAAAGTACACTTACTTTGAGGTGTGCATGTAGAAGTTTCCTAGTTGATGATGATGATGGGAATTATAAGTGGGGGTGGAGGAGAAGGGAGAAGAGAAGGAAGTGGGGATGGAAGAGAAATCACCTTTCAGGGGACCCATGCTTGATGCCGTCATTTCACCAATAAAATTTTAAGTTCACTAGGTGTAATTCAAGATTATTTTATTTAAACCAACACTGCGCTATATATTATTGGCGACGGGCAGTTTGCATATTGGGTGGAACAGCCGGAGTATCGGACAGGAGGGTGGTGGCTGCTGCTCGAGTGACCACACTGCGTTTGTCACCTCCACCCTAGTTTTTCCTTTATTAAACACAGTTTTCTCACTCTGGGAGAGCGAACACTCGGCACCAGACGTCCTCCTCGGGGCTTTTTCTCCAGTCTTATATTAATTATCAATATGTTAACTAAATTTCAGAATGACCAATGATTTTAATGTAAAGATGCAAAAATATTCAAGACACCAACAAAATCGATGTTCACTCCACTGTCAACAAAGCCAAACTGACGCCTGGTGGCTGAGTCAAGTGGCTGATGGGCGCACAAAAAACTAGTTCCCTGTACTGCATATATTATCAATATGTTAACTAATTTTAAAATGACTAATAATTTTAATATAAAAAATGCAAAAATATTAAAGAGCACAACTTTCTTGATATTTACTCCACTGGAAACAAATGTAAACATAGAACAGATTACTGAATTGGCAGACTAGCCCATCAGCCGATGCTCACAACAAAACATGTTTTTCGTAAGGATTTCATTAATTGAAGTTTTATTCGTTAACTGAATTGAAGATCCTTATGGGAGGTAATTCGTTAACCGAAATTTCGTTAATCGAACCGTTCGTTAACCGAAGGACCACTGTATAGTTTTTTGTTCACTTTAAACACATAGGGTACAGTCACAACGTGGGTATGTAAGGTACACCCATTAATATTCCTTGTGTTCAAACCAAAGGTAGTTTTACTAGCATAATGTCTGATGACAACCAGGTCACCAAAGCTGTGTCCATCCCCTGGCCTTTGTTGAATTTTCAGGACTGGCACCCAGAGTTTGGATTGTTCAGTAGGGTGGGGGTGAGGGGATCCCATTCTGGTTTTACCCAATAGCTGGTGTCAGGTAAAAGTGGCTAACTCACACAAGTGTAGAAATTGGCTGTAAAAAAGTTATGATGAGTCGCTTTCATTCCATAAAATAATATTTTTTTGTAAAATGATACTATATAAATTGGGGAATTTATTGTTATTGCAAAATGAATGAAGGTACAGTACAGTAGAACGTCGATATAACAAGAGATAGGTTCCAAGAGATATAACAAGAGATAGGTTCCAAGAGAGGTCGCTTTAAACCGAATTCGCACTAAAACAAAGTATTGTTTCAATGGAATAATTTAGTTTGGTACTTGAGAGAAACACAAAATACTAAAAAAACTGAGAGTCTACCCAGATGCACCTCAGCCCATCTCCTAGAATAAACAAAACATTGTTTTTTGTAGTACAGTAGAAGTCCAAAAATCCGGACTGCTTGGGGATTGGTGTGGTCCGGATTTTCGGATTTTCCGGATTCTCAGGCAGTACTTTTAAAATTCAAATTTAAGGAGGAATAAAGAAGAGATGAACAGGTACATTTTGTTAGTTTATTCATTAGCAAATATAGCATGCTTCATTTATCAAAACGAGCAGTTTTAAGGAAAAAGCTGTGAATTCTAGAATTTTATTCTTTGCCTCTTTTATATCATAAATTGTAGACTTTCCTATGTCGTATGTTTCCATTAGAACAGTATTGCTCACACCATGTTCTAGTTTCTTAATTATTTCAAGTTTGTCACTCAATTTCAACGTGTTCTTCTTTCTCTTCACACAACGAAGTTTATCTACTTTAGGAGCCATTATTATGGGCTTGTACAGTACAGTACTCTGTAAATGAAAAGAGTAGGACTCAAAATTACATACGCTGTCACAGTTTGATTGCTCTTTTTAAAGTGGCAACCGCGTGGTCGCTTGTTGTCGCTGTGCAGCTGTGGCACTCACGCATGTGCACATACACACAAAAGCCCGCAAAAAAAAAAAAAATTGAATTTCCTAAAAGTCCGGATTCTCGGGTGGTCCGGATTTCTGGCATCCGGATTCTTGGACTTTTACTGTATTATGTTAAAACAAACACTCATAAATCAACACAGCTAAAATTATGGGATGTGAAATGGTCTGTTTACTGGCTGGGAAGATGGGGGGGGGGTGATATGTTTGACAGTTGATGCCAAGGTCTAGTGCTTATTTATTTATCTGTCCTTAAGAGTGACTTTAAGTTTTTCTCTTATAAAATGTCACTGAACTGACCTGGGAGAATATAATTAAAACTGCTAGAATTCTTACATGATAGTGATTTGTTTGAATATATACATGCTATAGTTCGCATTAGACATACAAATTTTAGTTCAAATTAATTTTATTACAAAGGGCTAAAATTTTATCTCTTGTGCAAAATATATGAGGTTTATATTCAAATTATTCGCTGTATTGCAAGGATTCCAGCAATACAAATTATATTCTCCTAACTTTAGTCTGTGATATTATATAAGATAAAAACTGTAAGTCTTAAATACCAAACCCTGGCTGGGAGGGGGGAGGAGGAAGTGACAGTGACATGTTTGACAGTTGTTTATGTATGTCCTTTAGCTTGAGTTTTTGTTTTTTGTTTATAAAATGTCATAGAAGTGACCGGGGAGAAGATAATTTACATTTTTGGAAGTCTTATAAGATAGTGATTAATTTGAATATAAACATGCTATAGTTTACACTTGACAAAAATTATAATAATCATTTAGTACATTATTTTGATTTCATGTACAGTAGAGCTTTGCCCTTAGGACAGTGTAGCGTCCCCAGAGAAACATTAGGCGCAAAATTTAAAATATGATGCACCAGATTGACTCGCGCAAAATAGGAAAGATTCTCTTTAATTTAAAACATTGTCCTTAATTGTGGGTGTCGCTTTAAATTAATAATCTTAAATTGAATCGCTTTAAATCGACGTTCTACTGTATATAATTCTGTATTTTAATTTCACTTCATAATACACATACATCTGTGTGGCAATATCTGTTGAAATATATTTTGCCTCCACTATACAGCACAGTACTGTATACAGTTGTACCCCACTTAACGCGGTCAATTGAACCCAGAGGGTCCCGTGTTAAGTGAAATCCGCGTTAAGTGAACAACAGAACATATGGGATTAATTCCAATAGAAACCGGCCTGACCCCCAAACTCCACTTTTTGAAGGCACATACCTATGTTGTAGTAAAAATAACATCTTAATTTTATGATGGTACATGCACACAATTAATACTTAAGAGAAATACAGTCGCCAAGTTAATGTCCATTCAAATAATGGACTCAACTCCCTCCCTCTCTCACACTACACTCGCTGGCTCTTCCCTCTCAGAGAAATTTTTGGGGGAAAACCACTAAATTTTAATAAATAATACCTCAAACTAAAGTTAGGATAATACAATTGACATTGCTGGATTCCTTGTAAGACCAGGAATATTTTGAATATAAATGTCATATATTTTGCACAAAAGATAACATAGTTACCTAGAGAAAAAATTTTATCTAAAATTTGTATGTTTAATGAAAAATATATGATGTTTATATTCAAAATGATCACCAAATTATAAGAATTCCAGCAATGTAAATTATATTCTGACCGGGTAATTTGTATGAATTTTATGAGCTAAAACAAATATCTTCAGTTAATAAAAAAAAAAATAATCTTCACAACACTATCTGTCAATCAAAGTACCCCACCTTGCCTCCCCCCCTCTTCCAACCGCGTGGTCAGTCCCAACCCTCCCCCCCACCCCCCACCAATCCTCCCTTCCAGGGTTTTTAACATTTAGTATTAAATAATACCTCAGATTAAAGTTAGGATAATATAATTGACATTGCTGGATTCCTTGTAAGACCAGGAATATTTTGAATATAAATGTCATATATTTTGCACAAAAGATAACATAGTTAATTTGAGAAAAATTTTTATCTAAAATTTGTATGTCTAATGCAAAAATATGATGTTTATATTCAAAATGATCACCAAATTATAAGAATTCCAGCAATGTAAATTATATTCTGGCCGGGTAATTTGTATGAATTTTATGAGCTAAAACAGGCAGTCAGGCAGGGTGGGGCAAATCTAAAAATAGCGTCTCGAGCCGGACACTCACCTCGTATATGTGGAAAAAATCCGTGTTAATTGAAAGTTCAGCTCTGGCGAGGCACCGCGTATATGATAAAACGCGTTAAGTGAAACCGCGTTAGGCGGGGTAATACTGTAGTATTATGTTAGTGGGTGGTGACTGATTCTCCTGACTGGGATTGTAAGTGTTGTAGTGCGTTTTTTCCCAACTGAGAAGAGACGCCCCGTCGCCTCCTCAAGAGTTACAGCCGATTGGCTGTTGCAAATCTGTCCGCAGTATAGTTATAGTCAATAAAGATTGCCACAGAGGTAAACAGTATAAAGATAAGAAACCTTAATGTTTATAATAAAACAAATTACAGTTAAATTGCGGTTTTTTTGGCACCTATGGGAATTGAGAGGTGCCGGATAGAGAGATATTCCGGTCAGTTGAATCTCACTCATAGGATCCCCCAATAAATCCTACAATGTACAGTGCTACAGGCTAACCTCACAAATTTGTGTCTCAGATAAATGTACTTCTTTAACACTAATTCCACTCTATATAAATGATGTGGCTTACAAATAAAGAAAATATAATATAAAACTAAAATAAGAAAAATGAAGAGCATAGGTGTGTATGTGGGGCATGAATGTGTGTTGAGACGGTGGGTTACTGGGATATAACTGTGTTGCCAGCGTGGCAGCCACATGTCTGTGAGTCAGCTGGGTGACTGCCTGAACTGTGGTCATGTTGCCCAAAGGATGGTGTGAATGTGGAATGAGCTATTTTTTGGTCATAAAATATGTACTATTTTATTTTATTATATGCTGTTTATAGATTTTATTGTTTAACATAGCAATAAATATGGCAGCTCATCCCTGTTGTGCACGGCATTCAAACTTACTATTCTAGCTGATTTGAGAGGAATTTTTATTCATGTTATTATAATTTCATTCTGTGGTCGGTTAGTTGAATCTGCCGTTTATAAGGATACCAGATAACCGGGATTCTACTGTACAGTACTACTTATCAAAATATTTGTTCACTATTAGTTTCCTCTGAAGTTTTATTCATTATCAGGTTTGTTAGTGGTGTTGGTTTCCATTAATGCCTAGCTGCATCTACTTGTGTTTTATAGGAAAAAGTCAAAAGCTTGGAGAGCCAAGTAAGTGCCATGACCAGTGCATCTGTTGACCGAGAGGGAAGCATGGAGAAGGCCGTGGCTGACCTACGAGCAGAGAAGGATCGTCTGGTCAAGGAGAAAGAGGAGGTGTGTATTGTTGTATGAAAGATGGTACTTTCTATTCCCATATACACTTTCACATGTACACAGAATCAAAGAAGTTTTCTAATTTTGTGTTAGACTTTATGACACAATGGACGAATTATTTTGATTACCCTACCAAGACAAAAGGGGCCACAGTGTTCATTTTGATAATTATACTGTACAGGTATTAACTGTAATCGCTCATAGGAGCGATTTTGGTTTGTGCAGGACAATAAGACCCTTGTCGTTGACACGATGAGTATAATTCGGTCAATACCTGTTGAATACAATTCACATATAACAACTGCTGGTATATCAGGACACACAGATTAAATAATATGATCACTATACAGTACATAAATACACTTACTTAAGTTATTTAGAGTTTTCAGAGGATCCAACAGTTCACAATCACACTCACGTTTTACGGGTCTGGTGTTAGACCAATGAGAACAAATATAATGTCCTGCAGGAAGATGTTGGCTGATGAGAGTCAAGATGTTGCCTCTACAGTAGAAGGCGATAGTCTGCCCTTCAGGCTCCCACACAGCTGCTACCAGCTCCATCTCGCTTAGTAAGCTATTCTGAGTTGTAAACAGTCTCTTCACTTAACATGTGGCCAGCGCGCACAATTGTGCGTGGCAATAACATGAACACTTTGCCAGGGTTGGGTTCATTAATTTAATTACTGTAACTTAACTTTTTGCCAATTAAGTTAATTAATTTGGTTAATTAAATTTGAAATATGGATTAACTTAATTGGAATTTTGGCAGATTATTGAGATAACTTCAGTTACTTTTCAATTAGTGGTCCCCAGCCCAACTCATTCAGGCAAATCGTGTCCACAGAACCTGCAAAATTAATTTGATTTTAACTGTATTCAATATTCATTACAGTAGGATCTCAAGTCTAGCAAGCTTTAGATTCACGATTCATGTGTTTCTCGTCACTTTAAAAATTTCCAGCCTCTCAAGAATAGCGATTTTCATTACCAGTTTCGCGAGTCATTGTTGAGTGGACAACGCTCATTGTTACGGTCTTTTGTTATCCGTTGACCCGCCGAGTGTTTTTTGTTTACGGCGTAATGGCAGTTAGTTTAAATGAGCGAGCGGTGCAGTGACCTTGGATAACAACCCATCGTGCTTATGTTTTGTGAGATTCTTGTTTAATTATTAATGATTCTTGTGCATTAATAATGAGTAAAGTGCGTAATGTAAATGTCGGGAGCGGTTCTGGTGGTAATGATGGCCATAGAGAAGGTCAACAAGTAAAGCCCCAAGCCAAGCGTGACTACCGTAAGGGGGTCAAGAAGAGGAAATACTGTACACCCTTGAAATGAAACGAGATGCTTGAAATGATCAAAAGTGGTGCTCGTACCTGTGAAATCATGAGTAGGTTCAACTGCCCGAATCAACCATACGTTCCCTTAAGAAGAACAAGGAAGCCAAAACTGCTTCTGTGAATATATTCTCAAGATTTTCTAGTAACAGGACATTCTCCAATACTTCACAATGAAACCTACTGTTAGTTATCACAGAACAAACCGTGAGCAGTGCGACCTGTCTGGGCCACAGATAAGGCATCAGGCACGTGTTTATTACGCTGCAGTTGCACAGAAGAAACACGTTAACTCTCTACCACCATTCAATGCTTCTGTTGGTTGGTTGGCTGCCTTTAAGAAGCATTATAAAGTTTGTCCACTACCATGGGGAGAGTGCATCGGCTGATGTCATAGCAGCAAAAAAATTACCTCCTGTCTTTCAAGCTCTTGTGAAAGAGGGTGGTTATTTCTGAGACCAGATCTTCAATTGTGACGAAACTGGCATTTTCTGGAAGCGTTCACCTAAGACCACTTTCATTGCCAAGGATGAAAAACAGGCAAGGGGTGTAAAGACTTCAAAAGACAGGATTACAGTTTTATTCACAGCTAATACAAGTGGAGATTTCTTGATGAAACCCTTGGTTGTTAAACGTGCTGCCTGTCCTAGAGCCCACCGTCATGCCAACATGTCGCAGCTCAATGTTTATTTGACGTCTAATAAGAAAGCTTAGGTTACAACGTCTTTATGCACCGATTAGTTTGACAAGCACTTTGTTCCTGACGCCCAACAGTACTGCCGGAGGAAGAACATTGACTTCAAAGTGATCCTGGTGATGGATAATGCTCCTGGACACTCTAAGTTTCTAATTGGATGCCACTCTAATGTACAAGTTATCTTCCTTCCTCCTAACACCACATCACTTTTGCAGTCACTTGACCACGAATTCATCAGTAATGTTAAACTGTTCTACTATCAGTCACTCTATAAAGACTTTCGTCAGCTAACCAGGTGGAGGAGGAGATGGTAGACGACCTGACTCCTAGTACCTCACCACCCCGCAACCGTGAAGTGTTATCAGTTTGTGAATTTTGGAAGAAATATAATATTAAAAATGCAGTGAACAGAATTGTTGAGGCATGGCGTAAGATTAATGTTGCAACAGTGCTACACGCATGGAAGCCTTTGTTCACTAACTCCAAGATAAGTGGGGCACAGCAGACCGAGGCAAGTGGAGAGGCAGTCAGTGGCGGCAACACTAATGGACACAGCACCGGGATTTTCCGATGTTTAGGTTGAAGATATGCAAGAAATCGTTGGTCAACATCAGCAGCAACTGACAATTGAAGAAATGTTGGAGGAGGATGAAGAACAGGAAGAACAGCACCCAACACAAGAGGATGACGTTAAGCCTGGTGAACCTACAACACAGCAGCTGACTGAGTTGCTCACAAACATCGCACGTCTCAGTGAACAGCTAGAAGAATATGATACCAGGCCTCATCCTCTGAACCTTATGTGCTCTGCCCTTGATAAGGGTATGGAGGAATACAAGGCCTTGTACTTGTCCCGTGTTAATGCTCGTCAGCAGGCCCTTATTACTCAGTACCTGTGCAAGGCCCAGCCTTTCTCTCATCTGTTATTATGTTTACCAGTTTTAGTCACTCCATGGTCCCACTTATCACTGTCAGACAAAATTCAATTGATATGATTAATAAATAGCTGAAAATATACAGTACAGTGGTCCCTCGGTTAACGGACACAATTCTTTCCACAGAGTCGTTCGTTAACCAAAATTTTTTTTAACCGAATCCATTGTTTCAATGGGATATTGGGTAATTGGTTCCAGCTCACAGAAAAGTACATATACAAAGTAAAAAAAAAATGCAGTAAAGTACACTTACTTTGAGGTGTGTATGTAGAAGGTTCCTGGTTGATGATGATGGGAATTAGAAGTGGGGGTGGAGGAGAAGGGAGAAGAGAAGGAAGTGGGGATGGAGGAGAAATCACCTTTCAGGGGACCTATGCTTGCTGCAGTAATTTCACCAATAAAGTTTTAAGTCACTTTTTTTTTTTACGGGAATTAGCCCACCCGGGCACAGGTCAAACAACCCACAACGGAGCCTGGGGGGCGAAAAAAAAAAGAATGGAAAGAAATTGAAAATATAGAAAAAAGGTAATACTGTATTAATCTACACCACGAAGATGCCGGAAAACCAGCTTTTTAAAGTGAGACAGATTGTAAGAGCAAGGAAACACAGTTTGGCTGGGTGAGGAAAGAAGGGGGTACTTGGCTTAAATCAAGATTATTTTTTTTAAGTCAACACTGCATTGCGCTATATATTATCAATATGTTAACTAAACTTCAGAATTACCAATATTTTTATTGTAAAAATGCAAAAATATTCAAGACACCAACAAAATCGATGTTCACTCCACTGTAAACAAAGCCACACTGACGCCTGGTGGGTGAGTCAAGAGGCTGATGGGCGCACAAAAAACAAGTTCCCTGTACTGCATATATTATTAATTATTAATTTGTTAATTAAATTTTGAAATGACTAATAATTTTAATATAAAAATGCACAAATATTAAAGAGCACAACTTTCTTGATATTTACTCCACTGGAAACAAATGTAAACATAGAACAGATTACCGAATTGGCAGACTAGCCCATCAGCCGATGCTCACAACAAAACATGTTTTTCGTAAGGATTTCGTTAATCTAAGTTTTGTTCGTTAACTGAATTGAAGATCCTTATGGGAGGTAATTCATTAACTGAGGGACCACTGTACTTATGTAATTAGAAATCATAGTACAGGGATTGTAATAATCTGTTGCTATGTTGAAATATAATCTAGTTCCTTCAAATTTATTCAGCAAACATATAAAGATTGTAATAACTATATTAAAGAATTACTGGGAACAAATGTGCAGTATCTCAAAAAATGTATCTGCCAGGATGGGTCCGATGACTTCCATAATGCTACATGTAACTCGTGATGACCCGGAAGGATTGGTATGTGTGGCTCTGTGGCAAAACGATCCGATTACATTTGGTAACCGAGTATCATACTAATTATGCCAAAATAAATGCACACTGAAACACCCCCTAGGAGTGCGTGTCCCCCAGATTAAGAACCGCTAGTCTAGCTTATCTCAGGGACCAGACAGGGTGGCAATCCTCCAGTCGTGGAAACACTTAACTTTTGAAGAGCATATCTGAACACCCTTCTTATAAGACCTATTAGCTTAGTTGAATGATTCACAATCTTCTCACAATGTTCCAAGAACTTTAGTTTGTTGTCAATTCACACACCCAGGTTATTTTCACATTTAGTCTCTGTTAATCCATTAATGATATTTCTTCATCCTATTTGGGACATATGCTAAGCCTCCTCACCGTTGGTACGACTTGGGTGCATCCTTTTGCATTCCATGACAATGAATCTTTTGGAGAGCCAAAATGTGTTGTTTCATATAATGAGTCCATTCCAAGATGCTATTTGTTTCAGTAAAACTGTAAGTTAAAAGATGTTATGAAAATTAATCAGTTTCCATTTGGGTAATACAATATTTAACTTTAAATGTTTGTAATGGATTACAGGGAATATAAAAAATTCTACCCACATGATATGTCAGGTTATTTTTAAAAGTATTTTTTTCTAAATTATTATAAGAGTAGAAACAATGTGACTGCAGGATAGAATAAAATAAACTTCAACTCCAAATGAAAATAATTATTATTCATGCTGTACCTTCATTGTGTAATATTCATTTACGTACTGTACAGGACTGTACTCCAAGTCTCATTATCATAAGACCAGGTCTCTAGTATTACCCTAATGGCAGCTTTTTCTTTCATTAATGTTACCAATATTGTATACTGAAGTGTTTGTATGTGTTACAGGTCATTACTGGGTTGTGATACTTGCTCCTGTCAAATTGTAAATGTTTTATAAGTGTTATTGCTTGGTTCTTGCCTCTAGAATTTGTGGGGTTATATTTTGATGTGAGTGTTTTGGAGATCAGGTCTGTACAGTATTACCCATTCTTAAGTGTTAACCACTTTATAAGAAACAAAATTTATGGTGTTAAGTAGATAGGAGATATGTTTTGTAATAGTAATATAATATTTTCAGGTATTTAAGAAAAAAGCAGAAATAGAAGAACAGCTCTCTGCTCTGGATAAGGAAAACCGCAAATTACGCACCGAACGGGAGGAAAGCTTGTTAGCTGTAACACTAAGGGACCAGAAGGTATGTATGTGTATACTGTATATGGATGTGGAAAATACAGTAGCATATACCACTCTTTCTAATCTTTACCTGTGACCAGTGGATCCCCAAATACTGCAGTTTTATTTATTTTTGCATAATTCCATGCATTATGTTATCATTGGTATATGTTTCTGTGCATACTTTATATATTTAGGAATTATTTAATTAACACAAACATAATTATGAAGCATGTCTGTGGTAGTGGGAAAACCATACATGGTGTAAGAGTGTAACTCTGAGAGGCTGGTACAGTAACATTGGAGGTCTAGTTAAAAAAAAAAATTTACTCATTAGTGGGATGGTGAGGGATGGTATGGCTGACAATACAGATTAAAGAATGGTAACTAGGATTTGATGGGTGGATATTATTTAAATTTGTAATAGAGACATTCATCAAAATTATAAGGAAGTTGTAAGAATGATTATGAATATTTGGATGCAGTGAAACCACACTCATTTGAATACATGGAGATAAGGGTGTGTCAGATTACTGATAATTTGAACTACAGGATTAATATTTACAAGTGGCATACAACAAACCCATGCAACAGTAATTGATGTTAACAGCACCTCTCAAATATGGTGGGCAGGCCAGGACAGTGAGTGGTAGTGGTCAGGGCTTCTTGGCATTGAGAGGAAGTGAGCAGGATAGGAGATGGGCAGTTAGGAGGTTGTCAGTAATGGTTGGTGGGAGGGAGGAATTTGCAAGGCAGGGGGTTGGCAGTAAGGGTGGAGAGCAGAGTTGGCAGAAGGCATGAAGGGATTGTGGTCAGGATGGAAGGTTGGCAGTGATGGGTGGTGGACAAGACAGGAGACAGTCAGTAAGGTATGGTGGGCAGGATGGAAGGTTGGCAGTGATGGGTGGTGGACAGGGCAGGGGACAGTCAGTAAGGTGTGGTGGGCAGGATGGAAGGTTGGCAGTGATGGGTGGTGGACAGGGCAGGGGACAGTCAGTAAGGCATGGTGGGCAGGATGGAAGGTTGGCAGTGATGGGTGGTGGACAAGGCAGGAGACAGTCAGTAAGGTATGGTGGGGAGGATGGGAAATATGTTGTGCAGAAGATAGGCAGGAGGTGTTGATGGGCAGGGTAGGAGTTTGACAGTAGAGGTGATGACTTGCTGGGAAAATGTGAATATGTCCAATCCATGGGTGGGAGAGTGGTGCTATTTGCTGTATTACCTTGGCAGCAGTGATGCAAATTTCCCTATAAGTTTTATTAGCAATCAGTGTTGTGGAGTTTACTGTCCTGGAATGTAATCCTGAACTATGTCACCGCAGCTATTGGTATACATTACCATGATATAGTTGGGTCTTTCTGTATTTCAGCACATAAAGTTGCATAAAATTTTTCCAAATCAAGGCAAAGATTTCACATATGCCAATTACTTTGTGCTGAGGGTTTACTGGAACTATATAGGCACATACCAAGCTGTGTATGTATGGGTGGATGAGGCACATACACTTAACATAAGAAAGATTTTGGACAGATTTGCATTATTTAACCCTTAAGCCCTGGGTTAGGGTGCTGCTGGCAGTACCCCTCCCCCCCCCTGCCTCTAAGGATAAATCAATAAAAAATCAACTTAAAAAAAAAGGTGGCGGGAATAGACAGACTTTCCGGAACGTCACCCGGGGCGCTCTGGTCGGACGTTCTGGAACGTCACCCGGGGCCTAAGGGTTAATCAAAAGTTGATTAATTAATGAGGTTCAGATTTGTGAGGTTTCACTGCAATACTAAGATGAAAGAAGATGCTTGATTTTAAGGCAAAGAGAAAGTTAATAAAAGTTAACAATATTTAAGAAAGGGGAACTTGCTCTGAAGTATGTTTGGATGAACAGAAAGTAGACACTCTATAAGAATTCCAGTATTTTGACAGTACTTAAAGTAGAAGGGCGGCCAAGGCATTAAATGGGTTTCAAAGAGTAACGAATGGCTAGAGACTAAAACATTAAATCTTCAGGGATGGGGAACCAGGCTACTCACCCTGATGAGTGTTAAAAATAATAGTGTGTGTAATATAAATAAATAATAAGACTGAGTTTTCAAAGACAAGTAGATTGTTGAATCTCAGAAGGAGAGTAATGCAGTGAATAATTTGTGTTACCCTTCCTAGAGAGGTTTATTAGAACACTATTGCACCTGACTTTGTTGTATGCTAGAGTAACACTCGGAAAGTGAAATGTAGATTGAAATCACATACTAAAGAATTTCAGAGTATTGTGCTGTACTGTACTGTAGGAGAGTAGATTTGCAATTGAGGGAGTGACTGCACAAAGAAATTAGGAAGTTAAAGAATAGTAGATAAATCTGAATGGGGATACTTAAAGGTAGATTGGAGCAGTATTATAGAAGTGATGCCAATGACTGTGTTTTAAAAGATTATCTAAACTAAGGTCGATAGAAAGACTGAGGGAGGACTTTTAGGGTGGTGTTACCTGTTTATGTGTGTTGAGGTCATGGAATATAATGTACAGTATGCTATACAAGGTTCTTTACAAACTAAATCCTGTACAGTATATGAGGAAGCCATATACAGGTATTCATTGTACCTTTAAGTATTTACCTTTATAAATTACAGTGTGTGTGTGTAAATATATGCTATTAAATTATGCGAGACACACCAGTACAGTTTAATGAAGAACATTCATAAAAAAAATAAGCTAAAATTTTGTTATGTAAAACATTTCTTTTAGTTGCATTTCTTTTATTATTTAGTAAATGCTTTGTATTGTATTGATATAATCTTTCCTTGTATTGCACATACAGATTGTTTTCTGAAATTCTACATCTGTACTGTACTGCATTGCAATGTATTGTAATATCCTTTGCATCCTTTTATTGTCTCTGTTCTTCCCTTCTTTAAGCTCCCATCTTCTTAGATATTCATGTTTGTTTTGAGTTCCGTTCGTGAGTCAAAATAAGTAATACAGATTGCTTGTAATTACGTACTGTACATTGCAAATTTGGTGAGAAATTTTTAATGATATTTACTACTTTATTTTTCTTAAGCAGTAACTGTAATACAGAAATATTTATACAGTGATGCCGTCCTTGATTCCATCTTCACCATTATCACCAATGTTTTACGACCATTTTCCATAACACATCTTATCAAGCATCTGTCAAATGGTTTCTTCTCAACCTGTCATTGTTTGTTCAGTAGTGTGGAAAATGGCCATAAAATGATGGTGATGATAATGATGATGATCTGCATCCTCTCTTTGTATTATTTTGTGTTGATCAAAAGGGAGAAACTCCATCACATGAGAGAAATTATAAGGAGAGTTATATAAAACCAGTTTAGAAAGTGACAAGACAACATCACCATAAGAAAAGATGAAAACATGTAATGGTTCTGAAAAAATTTGAGAACATTGCTAAAATATAAACAGTGGATTAACACATTAAACAGATGGTTAGGGATACTGTTTGATGCTCCTGGTTGTGGCTTGAGCACTTGTCTTTTAAGTTCATGGGTGGAGCATATGATTTATATTTAGGGTAAAGAATTTGGCTAACATTTGATTGAAAAAGAATTAAACAAAAAATCAACTTAATTGTGATTGATATTGTAGATAAAATGTACCAGACCTACACATGAGGTGGTCACCAAATTTATTTATCTTAAATTACTTGAAATACCAGCGTTAGAAATTATATGCCTGAACAATTTGAATCACAGGATAGTGTGGAAAGGGAAGACAAGTAACACTAAATGAAAGTGTGTGTCTGGTTTGGCTCTTGATTCCAGCCATTCTGCATCATATTAGGAAAAAGGTTTACAAACTTGAAGAAAAGTAGAAGATTAATCCTGCAGTTTACTATTACATATATTGAAGTATGCAACTAGAGGTAGACTTTTTTTTGTAGGTCTTCATTCCCCAAATCCCTTAATGTTTGACACCCTTATACTCGTCCAATCCTCACCTCCCTAACTCCTCTCCAACCCGTCCCATCTTTAGTAGTAAATAACCTTCAGTCTTTTACCACTCTAATCTATTATAACCTTCAGTCTTTCACCACTCTAACCTGTTATAACCTCCAGTCTTTCACCACTCTAATCTGTTATAACCCCAGTCTTTCACCACTCTAATCTGTTATAACCCCAGTCTTCACCACTCTAACTTGTTATAACCCCAGTCTTTCACCACTCTAACTTGTTATAACTCAGTCTTTCACACTCTAACCTGTTACAGATCTTTCACCACTCTAATCTGTTATAACCCCAGTCTTTCACCACTCTAACCTGTTATAACCCAGTCTTTCACCACTCTAACCTGTTATAACCCCAGTCTTTCACCACTCTAACCTGTTATAACCCCAGTCTTTCACCACTCTAACCTGTTATAACCCCAGTCTTTCACCACTCTAACCTGTTATAACCCCAGTCTTTCACCACTCTAACCTGTTATAACCCCAGTCTTTCACCACTCTAACCTGTTATAACCCCAGTCTTTCACCACTCTAACCTGTTATAACCCCAGTCTTTCACCACTCTAACCTGTTATAACCCCAGTCTTTCACCACTCTAACCTGTTATAACCCCAGTCTTTCACCACTCTAACCTGTTATAACCCCAGTCTTTCACCACTCTAACCTGTTATAACCCCAGTCTTTCACCACTCTAACCTGTTATAACCCCAGTCTTTCACCACTCTAACCTGTTATAACCCCCAGTCTTTCACCACTCTAACCTGTTATAACCCCCAGTCTTTCACCACTCTAACCTGTTATAACCCAGTCTTTCACCACTCTAACCTGTTATAACTGATCTTCACCCTCTAACCTGTTATAACCCCAGTCTTTCTCCTCTAACCTGTATAACCCCAGTCTTTCACCCTCTAACCTGTTATAACATCTTTCTGCTCTAACCTGTTATAACCCCAGTCTTTCACCACTCTAACCTGTTATAACCCCAGTCTTTCACCACTCTAACCTGTTATAACCCCAGTCTTTCACCACTCTAACCTGTTATAACCCCAGTCTTTCACCACTCTAACCTGTTATAATCCCAGTCTTTCACCACTCTAACCTGTTATAACCCCAGTCTTTCACCACTCTAACCTGTTATAACCCCAGTCTTTCACCACTCTAACCTGTTATAACCCCAGTCTTTCACCACTCTAACCTGTTATAACCCAGTCTTTCACCACTCTAACCTGTTATAACCTCCAGTCTTTCACCACTCTAACCTGTTATAACCTCCAGTCTTTCACCACTCTAACCTGTTATAATCCCAGTCTTTCACCACTCTAACCTGTTATAACCTCCAGTCTTTCACCACTCTAACCTGTTATAACCTCCAGTCTTTTATAACCTTACCCTTGTACCACTCTGTATTGTATTCTCCTATACTACAACATTAGCACATCAGTTGTTGATTGCTTTAATTCTTTATTACCATCCACCATTGGTACCCCAGTTTGTACTCCCAACAACCCTTAACACCGTTGTTCTATCATACTGTCACTGTGTCCCTTGTGCTCCATCCAGTCAACCTTTGATAGTCCTGTGTTTATAGCCCACTCATACTGTGCTCCCTCATAAATCTGGTCTTCTTTCTGAAACCTGAACCAACCTTCTTTTGCTCGTGATATGTATACTACTGACCTACTATACTCTTCAATAACAATATTTGAAACTTGTTGAATGTACTGTATAACCTGTTCCTCGGTTCTCAAAATTTACACCCCATCTCGCCTACAATTCATTACTGTATTTAAGATTTTTTTACAACCTCTTTTGCTGAACATCTTTTTTATTGATAACCTTTTCTACCTATTGTTTGTCTTACATTCACTGTCTTCTGGTTTTAAAATTGTTGCCGTGTATTCCTATCCACCCACAGTACATGTTACCTTTATCCTTTCTTGTAATTTTCCTTTAACCCAAAGTTTTTCATCATTACCCTGATAGCCATCATAATGATATCACATCTGTCATCTTGGGATGTGTACCATTTACATTTTTAGCAAATGGTCTCTCTTATCATCCTCTTAGTTGTTTCTAACCTCTCTTTTTATAAATAATCTTCATAGCCTTCAGTAATTAACAAATCACATTTTCTCTGAATTGTAATCTGCATTAAAATTGTTTATTGCTGTTTGTTTTTCATCACTCACATTTTCATTTCCAAGGTAATCAGTGCATGCACCATGAGTGTATATACAGTAACTGTCTCATGTTCTGTGTCTGTTTCTTGACAATTTCTTTAACCCCTTAACTTTTATTTGTTCTTAAACAATATATTCCATCTAGAAAGGTGATTTACCTTCTCTTGTTCCTTTATTGGCTCACCTATCCTCTATCTGGCATATATTTGCCCTCCATAACTATAGGTGGCAGCCTTGAAAGCTGAAGTGGAGCATTTGATGACCATGTGTAACACCCACCGTGAGGAGCTGCAGAAACAGTTGGTGCAAGCGCAGGCTGACAAGGAGGCCATGGCTGAAATTGGGAAGACCTTGTACGTTCACCCTTTTCTTATTCACTTCTGCCTAAGTATTGTACACTTTTTTGTGTTGTGATAATTTTATTTATGTCCTGCTTCTTTTTCACGATGCCCATTTATTTATTCTGATTTGTTGCTTGAGCTTTATTTGGTTTTGTGATTCATGTACTGTACTTGCTTAAATTTGTACATATTAGTGGGATGTAGGTATTTGGTGCTGTCTCCTGTATTTATTACTGTATATGAGTGTTATAAGGTTATTGACAATACTATTAACAAATTGCTCTCCTCCACACACAGATACATACATGAGAAAGAGTATACAGTAATGAGTGAAAACTAAGATTAGAAATTATAGTAAGATGTAAAGTGAGCAAAGTTTGGTAGTGTGACCAGTTAGTTATTTATATGTTAATATATATTCTTAGGGGAATTTTCTAAATGCCAAGTCCAAGTACAGCTATTTATTATTCAACTCAGTGGTATGGACACATTAAAAGATCATTATATGTACGTTACTAGACAATGACTCGGACACGAACATGAAATGGATACACTTCACACCGTAAGTAACTCACCCTATGGATCGCTCTGACAATGACTCACGTGTGACCTGAGGGAGGCTCAGTGGCTAGGGAAGCTGTCTGCAAGTGCTGCTGGACTCTGTCTCCTGTGGGAGACTCTGCTAGTTGGGGAGGGAAGTCTCCCTCCCAACCTCGACTGGTGACAAGCGTGACTTTGAGTTCTGTCTCGCCCTGTCTGACTCTGGGAAGGAGCTGTCGGCCCCTTCCCTGTTATAATAATAATGTCCCCTGTGGAAGGAGCTGCAGGCCTCTTATATTGGAGGAGAACTGGCAGATGACCTCTCTTAATTAACATTAAACTGGTTAGATCTGGACAGCTGTGTTTGCCCAGGTGCGTGGTCATGTCGTTGGTCGGTAATGCTTCCTAATTAACACCACCTGGGTGTGTCTAGACACGGTGTACTGGCTGGAGGGGTTGCTTCTTGAGTCACACGGTCATGTCACAGGGTTCAGCTAAAGGCGTGGCAGTGAGAACTCTGAATAAATGTCACTGACCTCTCTTAGGTCAGGTCTAGACAGCTGTGTTTTCCCAGGTGTAGTTTCTTGAGTAAGACGGTCATAACGCCGGGTTAACTTGGGTACCTAGTGGCCGTGCCCTCTCCTGGGTCAGGTCTTACTGTCACTGTAGGGTGTGTCAACCTATGTGGGTTACCACGTGGGCATCTTCTTACTATTATATATGTTGTTCATCTCTGGGCTGTAAGTTGTGGCCTGAGAAACAATCATTACAAGAGAGTAGAGCGAGAGAGAGAGAGAGTAGAGTGAGAAAGAGAGAGAGAGAGAAAGTAGAAAGAGAGTAGAGTGAGAAAGAGAGAGAGAGAGAAAGTAGAAAGAGAGTAGAGTGAGAGAGAGACTAAATAGAGAGAGAGAGAAAGTAGAGTGAGAAAGAGAGAGAGAGCAGAGTGAGAAAGAGAGTAGAGTGAGAAAGAGAGAGAGAGAGAGTAGAGTGAGAAAGAGAGAGAGAAAGAGAGTAGAGTGAGAGAGAGTAGAGTGAGAAAGAAAGAAAGTAGAAAGAGAGTAGAGTGAGAAAGAGAGAGAGAGAAAGTAGAAAGAGAGTAGAGAGAAAGAGTAGAGTGAGAGAGAGAGAGAGAGAGAGAGAGAGAGAGAGAGAGAGAGAGAGAGAGAGAGTAGAGTGGAGAGAGAATAGAGAGAGAGAGAGAGAGTGGGAGAGAGAGTAGAGGAGAGAGAGAGAGTAGAGTGAGAGAGAGTAGAGAGAGAGTAGAGTGAGAGAGTAGAGTGGGAGAGAGAGTAGAGTGGGAGGGAGAGAGAGAGAGTAGAGTGGGAGAGAGAGAGAGAGTAGAGTGGGAGAGAGAGAGAGTAGAGTGGGAGAGAGAGAGAGAGAGTAGAGTGGGAGAGAGAGAGAGAGAGATTGTCTTGGTCATTTTCTCTTCCATAACTCTCTGCATGGGGGTGGGGGTCATCCTTGTCTCCAGGATCAAATATGATGGCATCAGCTTCCTCTTGTATGAGGGGGCACCTCACGTCTTGCCTCAGCCTTGATCCAGCCACTTCTCGTGTGTGAGAGGCTTACACTACCCCAGGGCATATGCTAGAAGTCCCCATAAAGATGCTTTGCAAAACAAAGCCTGGGAGTTTTTACTTGGGCCTGTGAGAAATATATTGCAATAGTTGCAGGATATTTTTGGTACTGTACTGCACCTGTTGTATGATAGATCTGCAAAGGGTTAAAATTTGAGATGCACTCCAGCCCAAGTAAGTCTTACCCTAGAACCTAACTTAATAAAACGGTTTTACCTTTGGATACTGGCGTCCTTGTGGAAACTGTAGACAGTCAGTCCCTGATTTACAAAGGTTTGGTTTACCCAAATTCAAAGTTACAAAAAAATTAATTTTGTTGCTTTGTGTGATTCATGAAAAAATCCTATTTTGTTGTTGTTGCATGATTTGTAATATTTTCCATAGTAATAATGAAAATATGCAAAAAAAAAAAAACATTTTTTATTAAGTCTACAAAGAAGCTTTTAGTGTGTCATCTTTCTCCTGCAATCTCCATTGAAGTTATATCTCAAACTCTCTGAGGACAAACAGACTCACCTCCTCCAGCATTCACTCAGCTATAGTATTTCTACACTAACCTGGCCTGTGAGCCACACCCCTCTTCTATAAAAATAGCTGATTGGTTCATAGAAAATGTTTTTGTAGCTGTCCATTTATTCAAACTAAATATGTTCGTTATTCATAAGCAGACCTGTCCTTCTCTAAAATAATGTTAAATATTTGGACTATCAAAATGCAAATGATTTCAAGGCATTAGCGCTTCAGAGACGATGTTAGAAACTTTTTGATATTTATCATAAAAGGTCGAAGTCAAAGATGAAATTCGCTTTTGAATGACGTCTTTTCATTATTATTATTTTTTTTTACCAAATATAAGCAAACAGAAACAAATGATATCAAACATACTGTATAGCACAATAGGTATTGAACTACAGTTTGTATGGCTGGATATACTATTCCAAATCATTTATATGACTGATAAAACTCGATATAAATACGCACAGTCCGGCGGGAGGTAAAACGCTCAAGGGAACAGCCACTGGACTTAGCGGTAATGTCGCTCATCTTGACACACAACAACCAGCAGACGTCAGCTGTCAACTGTTAACAGATGTCAGCGCTGTGGTACTTAACCAAGAAAAACATTTCTCACACCCACGAGCAGATTATTAAATACTTTATCCATTAACTTGGCATCTCTCCATCTTAAATGCTGCGTTGTGACAAGATTTAAGTAATAATATATGCTACAAATTATTAAGAAGCGATGTAGGGGTTTAACATTTTCATCCTCTGTCATTAAGTATCAAGAAATTTGGTGCAAGCGAACGAAAATCTCGGCCAATGATTGACAAGGTATAGTTAATTTGTGTGTCACAGCATTCTAATGCAAGCTCTACCATACTGGCAGTACGAGTCAAGTGTCCAGCTGATCTGTCACTCAGCTGATCACCTCGTCGATGTGGCTGCAAAGTCCAGTGGCTGTTCCCCTGAGCCTTTTACTTCCCTCACAGACTGCACGTATTTATATTGAGTTTTATCAGTTATATAAATGATTTGGGATATATACAGCTCTACAAACTGTAGTTCATTACCGATTGTGCTATATTTTTTATAACATGAAAAGACTTCATTTGAAAGCGAATTTCATCTTTGACTTCGACCTTTTATGACAAATACAGTATCACTGTATTTTAGAGAATAACAGGTCTGCTTACCAACTGTGAACATATTTAGTTTGAATAAATGGACAACTACAAGAACATTTCCTATGAACCAATCGGCTATTTGTAGTTATAGACGAGGGGTGTAGCTTATGTGTCAGGTTAGCGTGGAAATAGTATAGTTGCCTGATTGTCCAATTTCTCCACATAAACTCTTTTGTAATACTGTACAGTATGTGGCAAATTAATTAACAGAAAAGAATTCAGGACAGTAAGTCCTCGCATAACGTCGTCCCGCTTAACGTTGTTTCGGTACTACGTCGCTGAACTTTAGAGACCAAAAATTCGTTTAACTTCCCGGTGATACGACACTACGTCGTTTTGCGTCGTCGCGGACTACTTTCTACTGCGCATCACCCGCTCGTGTCTGGCCGCGCTACGCTCTCTCGGCTCGGCGCGCTGCCCTCACTCACGGAACGTCACAGTGTCCCCAAGCGACGCCAAGCCAGTCTCTGTTACGGCTTCACATCATTTGTGTGTGCTTAAGTGCTTTTGCTTTAAAATTGTTCTCTAACCTTTCAAAATGGCTTTCAAGCACCCATCAAGTGCTGCTGATGCTAGTGTAGTGAAGTGGCAACATAAGACCATCACCCTTGTTACGAAAATGGATGTATTAACCCGGTTTGAAAAAGAGGAACATTCTGTGGACATAGCCGCTGTGCTTGGCCTAACCTCCACAACGGTGCGTACTATCCTGACCAACGCTGACAAGATTAAGGTTAGTGCTGGAAGTGGTTCTTCTCTGAGTGCTACTAAGACGAATCGTGCTAGATTAACTAGAAGCACTGTGATAGAGAAGGTGGAAAAGATGCTGGCAATGTGGATGGAGGATCAGAATCAACGCAATGCCCCTGTGAGCCTTATGGTAATCCAGCATATGGTCAGATCCTTGTTTTGACGACATTAATGAAATAAAGGGTGAAGGATCAAAGGAAGAGACCTTTACAGCCAGTCAAGGCTGGTTTAAATGATTTAAGCATCGGTATGACTTCCACAACATAAAGATGACTGGTGAAGCAGCCAGTTCAGCTACGGTTGCTTCCGAGATATTCCCGCCAACAATGGAGGAGGAGCAAGCAGTGGCGGAGGAACCACAGTCAGCGCAGGAAGGAGGAGGCGGCAGCTGCAGTCTCAGTGACTCACCGCCCTCCTCCTCCTCCTCAGCCCTCCTCCTCAGCTCCCTCCTCCTCAGCTCCCCCCCTCCTCCTCAGCTCCCCCATCCTCCTCAGCTCCCATCCTCCTCAGCTCCCCCATCCTCCTCAGCTCCCCCCATCCTACTTCGCTCCTGCCACCCTCCTCCTTCGCTCCTGCCACCCCCTCCTTCATTCCACTACCCACCACACACTCGCTCTACCTCCTCCGCCATCGGTGAGTATCAATACAAACTTAGTACTGCAGTTCTATATACTATTTTCTACAGAAATGGCAATGATTTTCTGGATATGTAACTTTTTCCAAGGGGCAAAGGGAGGCTGGGGAACATAACTCCAGTATTTTATCTATTCCTTATGGGGAAAATTGATCCGCTTAACGTTGTTTCGCATAATGTCGCATTTTCATGAACGTAACCCCGACATTAAGCAAGGATGCCCTGTATTCTTAAGTTTCTTATGTCAATTACAGGCATCCTCCTGGTTAAGGGAGGGATGTGTCCTTGAAAATGTTTCAGTGAAAGACATAATACGTATCCAGTAAGTGATGTACATACAGAACAGTACATTAATAATTTTGTACTTTTGATATACTGGACAAGATTGGAAATAAAGTGAACAGTGTGAAACGCTATGCCAACATTTATGATAAATATATTACCCAAGTAATACTGTTTATAATAGTTAATGAATTATATGAAATTATAGGAGCATGCAAGCAAACTATAAAATTGTGTACAATACTTGTACTGTGCTGTACATACAGACCACAAAAGATCATTTTTCTGGTCAATCACTTAAAAAACAAGTCATAACCACCATAACTGCATGGTACACCTACCTCTCGTTTTACGCTGGGGTTACGTTCTTGAAAACCACCGCTTAATTCAAAAACGCTTAAATTAAACAATTTTCCCATAAGAATACATGTAAATGGTACAGGTTAGGGGAACCATCATATACCACACAGGGTACGAACAGTGCTCTCACTTAAACCAAACACGCGGCCAACCTCCGACACACGCTCTCCTCTCTGAAGGCGGGTGATCGCATTTAATTTCACGTCCATTGCGATTGTTTTTCGTGCCTTTTTAGCTTTAGGCGCCCCAGAGGAGGCAGATGAACATTTTCCAGACATGCTCAATGGGGGAAACAGCGTTTAACACTAAAAAGGTACGTGATAAACACACAATGCAAATGAGAGCACAGAAAAAAGTAGCGCTGGTGTGACCTGAGAAAGCGATACACGGGAAGCTTGCTGGACGTTGTCACAGTTGTTGTACAGAATACTTCATTATCGTCATTATCTTCATCTTTAGTAGTAATAATCTTTATTATAATACATTATTATAATAATTATTATTATTAGTATTAATAATATTAAATTCATTGATGTTGATATGACTGCGACTTTATAGTAATAACTTACAAGCACCTCACCAGGCATCACATGCGACTCCACTGCCAGGCGACCAGGCAAATACGTGCGACAAATTTAAACTGTCTTGACCGAGTTATTTAAAAAATAGGTGCGCGTAAATTAGCTTTTGGTATTAATTGAACAATCGTTTTATTCCGAAAACGCTTAAATCAAATGCGCGTAAAATGCGAGTTACCTGTTCTGTTGTTGTGTTTCTTCATGTGTCCTGACAGTAAAGTGCTTTCATTAAATATATTTTTTCTTTCAACTGTTTCATGATGGAAAAATAACTTTGCATAAGTAAGTAAAACAAAACAAAACAATCTTTTAGTATATTTTCATTGTTATTAGGAAAAAAAATCATGAAAATAATGAGCAGGAATTTCATAACTTTGTTATTTTTATTTATAAGTCAGTGTTTGAATATTTTTTTCTTCATAACTTAGAATTTTCATAAACTGATGCTTTGTAAATCAGTGTCTACCTGTACAGATTGTACCTCATTATTATTGGAAGGCAGAATGAATTTTTGCAGTTCATCATCTTCTGTGATCAAGTCATTCTCTATATTGTAGTCTCCTTGGACTGGTCCAAAGATTTTTCCCCACTTGATAGTAGCATTTTGAGGGTCTTAAGTCTTTCAGTACGGACCTACCATATTTGCCAGGATCCTGATGAGGTCATTCAGTTTTGATAACTTTTAAGGGATTTGCAAGCAAGTTACATCTACTAACTACTAATTTGTATGCAAGTGTCCAGTGTGGTATGTTAACCAAGCAAGAAAATTTTATGTGGTGAGGTTTAAGTTGACAAAGTAATCAATCCCTGCCTAACACTTTGTCACTGCCTTGTCACTGCCTCTTGATCTCTGACGTTAGCACTGTGCTTGTGGGTTGTGACTTGTGAATGCCTTTATTCAGTTATAATAGTATTTTGGCATTTAGATTGTACTGTATATTCAGTAGTGAACGACAAATTTATATGAATAAAATTTTCTTTGATTTTATGTCTTGTTATAGCTAATGTGATGCTGTACTGATAAAAAAAATGGTATTTAGAGACATGCTATTACTGTGGATGTACAAGCAGGTTTTATCAAAGATTTAAATATAATTTCTTCTCTCAGTGAGGGCGAGCTGACACGCTTGGGTTGTCTGCAGGAAAGTTTAGCTGTGTCAGAGGAAGAGAAGAATACCCTGCAGACTGAGAAAACAAAATTAGAAGAGGAGATTTCAAGGTTAAAGGTGAGGAGATTTATGCTAATATATATATATATATATATATATATTAATATTTTTTGTGATAGTGATATCCCCTTTAGCCGGAACAATTGCTGCAGAGCACATCTGGGGATGAGAGATTTCCGGGTAACCAGACGATTTTCTCAAGCCCGGAAAAATTCCTTATTACAGGAATCTTTTCCTGTTACTGGGAAAAGTTTCCGAGTGTCTAAACTAGACATCTTGCACAAATGGACACTAGCCCACTTCCCCAGAACGTTTCTGGGTGCTGGGGATGTTTTCCTCGAGTCCAAACTACCGGAGTCTGTAAATACATTTCTTTACTATAATAATCCAGAATAGTTTATCTAAAAGCTTGGTTAAATAAATATATTTAAAAATTAAAAATCTATAGGATATGGACGTGAATGAAGCTGTGTGTTACATCAAGGACTGGTATTTTCCACTCCCATGGAGCTGTGGGGGATTAGTGGGTCTCATGTAACTGATCTTCTGATGGAATGTCAAGTTTCTCTTTCTTGGGTGGGTGATTAGTGGGTCTCATAACCTGAAGATTGAATTGGATTGACTTGAAACAGTTTATTTAGCCAGAAAAAACACAGATACAGAGTGGATAATAATAACAATATTAACATGGCTGAGCCAGTTGAGAACCTGAGCTCTCTTTAGATGTCTTATTAAACACAAAACCTAAAGTATTTTTAGGGAAATTGTGATAAGTATAAATGAGCAAAGTTGTATCCCTTCAACATTACATTACATAACATTTTAAAATATGGAGTGAGAAAGCAAAAAGGTATGGCACATCACTATCACTTCCCCTGGGAGTCTTGGCTTTTAAGATCCTCAAACAATTGTCTGGCCTTCTCACAAGTTATAGCTTCACTAATGCTATCACCTGCCATTTCTTTCTCCTTTATCCACACTAAGAGTAAATTTTCCGTCTCCTCAATCACATTACACCTTGCTTTGCTAAGTCTAGAGATTCCCTTAGCCACTTGCACAGTTTTCAACTCCTCTTTATTCTTCAAAATCGTACATATAGTCGATTTAGCCATCCCATACTCATCACTAAGTTTCGCAATGCTTGTTCCATTCTCATGTTTCTTTATGATTTCTTTCTTAGTTTCAAGAGTTATGAGCTTTCTCACTCGCTTTGGACGATTCATTGTTACAATTGTACACTTGTATAACAAAACATTTATACAAATAACTCGTATTTCCACATCAAAAGACGAAATTTCAACAATAACAGTGGTGCACTGGCTACACAATGAGACAAAGATGGCACCTGACGCTCTTGTTTTGGGTCGTGGTACAACAATATTCATGCGCCAGACGAAATAGTCCCGTATTCATCCGCGTTCGTTGTAGGAGTTGCGTTCGTTATAGCATTCTCAATTTTATAGGTAAAACCGTTCGTTATAGGAATATTCGTAGTAGGATCCGTTCGTTATAGCATACCCCACTGTACTGTACTGTATTGTATATGAAGAGTACTGGTATTAATAATCACAGATTATTACAGTAATGTATCCTTACTAATTCATGAAAAGACAAAAACAATATTCTATCATGAATGAGGCAGTACAGTATTGGGTGAAAAAAAATCAGTGAGCCGACCCTTTGAGGGGGCTGTACGGTCACATTCCAATGGACCCTTCTCCTGTCCCCATCTCAAAGCATTTCTTATAAACTTCTGCAGTATTTGTGTTCGAGAGGTAAATTTGATACCATAATAATCCTGAATAAATTCACTCTTGAGACCTTTCCAAAACGATATTCTTAAATGACAAGCCGAATAATACGGTAAAAATAAGTATTTTACTGTATGTGAAGAGTACAGTACTGGTATTAATAAGCTCAAATTATTACAGTTTCTATCCACAAGTCTCTATGTACAGAACTAGACAAAGAATTTATTTGAAATACTGTAACATTTGATACCATAATATCCTGAACACTGGGGTTAGTTATACAGACTTTTCCCTGTGAAAAACCATAATGTTGAGCAGCATATTACTGTACGTACTCATTTTGTACTCTAATGTACTACACTAAAGGACTACAATTTTTATCTCTTCTGCAAACTATGAGATATTTATACTCAAATTATCATTAACTTGTAAGGATTCCAACAATGCAAGTTATATTCTGTTAAGTCAGGTCTGTGACATTTTATAAGAGAGAACTTTAAGCCTTAAACAAAATTTAACCCATTAATTGTTATCACTGCCATCTGCCTCCCTTGCTGGCTTGGAGGAGGAGGGGGGGGGGGTGTTGACAGCCAGGAGGGTAGATTAACACATACTTAAATACTCAAGGATTATAAAAGTCAGGGAGTTTAAGTTTTTCACTTATAAAATGTCACCGACTTGAGTTAGCAGAATATAACTTTCATTGCTGGGATTCTTGAAAGATAGTAATTAATTTGAGTACAACATCCCATAGTTTGCACTAGACATAAAATTTTAGTAATTAACTTAGTACATTTGAGTATAGGTTGTGATAATTTATGAGGTTGCTCAGCAGTTGTGGTTGCAGCTGCTAAGCTTCATGACGTCACTAGTGTATAGTGCGTCTCCATATGCCCTGGTTTATTCACTGATCAGTTGTCATGTATCAGTTAATTAAAAAAATATATATATTTAAAAAAAATTGTTATAAGACAATGGTTTATTAGAGCTATTAATTTGTGTGCTGTGTAAGTGTCTTGATATGTCAACTCACCATCTGACTCCATCACCTAACCACCCGACGCCAGCACCTAACCCTTTGCCTCGTTAGCTCAGCTCGGAAGTACATTGATTTATGACTGTATTATTTTACTTTTTTAGTGCTGTATGTACATTTAAAGAAATATTTTTATTTGCACATTAATTATAAATAGACCACGAGCAGAAAAATCCAGCATTACCCAAGCGGTTGGGCCTCCCACCCATGAACCAACCATGTGAGGATGCAGCTGTATTTGACGCAATCTTTCATAACCTTGGGAAACCTTGCCCCCAGGCCCTGTACAGGGACCTGAAGCTGCTTGATCAGGTTATGAAAGTTCCAGGAGTGATTTAGAAATTGATAAGGGAAGGAGAGAGTGAACATGAACAAATTGTAGTTCAGATTTATGCCTGAAGCAATTACCGTATATGAAGGTTGTAATACGAAATACTCTCACTTACGGTCATGATTTTAGAGGTAATCATTTTATACCCATCGTATAAGTCGACTCTCTAACTTTGGACACTAAAAATTTGGCTTCAAAGGTCAACTTATACGCCGCCATATACGGTATGCCTAGGCAGCTGCTAGAAAAATGTTTAGGGAAGGAAAGAAAATTGCGTTTCTTATTTGTAAATTTAGAGAAGGGCATTTGACAGGGCACCAGGTGAAGTTGTAAAGTGTGGAATGAGAAAGCTTGGAATTGAGGAGCACCTTGTTTGAGTGGCATGGCATATAGGAAGGCTTATAAACCTCTGTGAGAGTAAATGGTGAGAAAAGTGAAGAATTTTAGGTAAGAGTTTGTCTGGAGCCCCTTCTATATATCATGGTACTGGAGTCAATATCACAGTGGATAAATGTAAGAAATGGAAGGTTGGACTGCAGGCAAAAGGCTTGAGAGCATATGTGGTGAAAACAAAAGTATTGATTAGTGGTGTGGGTGAAGGAGTCGTGGCAGAAAATAGAAAATGGCAGTGTGCTGTCAAAAAAAAAAAAGGCATTGGCAGCATCCCAAAAATGTGCCATGTGTGTGGAAGGTGGGAATACAAGAGGTACAGTGGAGTAGATTGCAGACTGTGGGATGTTGCTGACTTTAGGTGTACTATATATGCAGGTAACCATGTGCCACAGCAAGGCTGAAGAAATTCAACATTGGGGTTATATTCCTGGACTGTATTGATGAGTTCTGTTACTTGGGTGACATGGTCAGTGCCAGTGTGGATACAAGAGTTAGAAGTGGCTGGAAGAGGTTTAGGAAGTTGTTGCCTTTATTGACAGCAAGAGGACCTTCCCTCTCAGTGAAAGGAAGAATGCATGTGGCTGGTGTGAGAAGTATGATGTTGAATGGCAGTTAAAGATGATGACATAAGTAGACTTGAATGAGCTAAAATGAGAATGATACGGTTGGTGTGTAATGTGACACTGAAAGACATGAGGCCATATTCAGAGGTAAGAGGGCAACTGGGTATTAAAAGTGGCAAAGTTCTGCAGGCTAAGATGGTTTGAGCATGTGCCGAGAATGTACAGTATGAGACCAATTGGCTCAAGAGGTGCAAGAGCCTAAATGTAGAGGGAAGGAAAGCCAGGTGTAGACCAAGAATAATATGGGGAGAGGTTGTAAGAAATATTAGCTATGTGAGGCTCAGGATGTGTCACACAGCCTCTGTTATAACTACAGAACTGTACTGTGTGCTAATTTGTAAACCATTTAATTCTACATCCCTTACCACCTCAATTAATTTGAATTTGGATGTTTTCAATGTATTTGTCTGTTTTATTTTGATAATGTGTAATCTACAATCATGCTTGGACAGATTTTTAATATATTTGATTCCTCTTTTATCATTTGTTTCAGTAGCATGCTATCACTTCCAGACATTAATTAATTTACTCTTTGCAGGGCATTGAGGGTGAAAGAGCAAATCTAGTCAAAGAAAAAGACATATTAGATGTAGAATTAAAAAAACTGAAGATGCTTGAAACTGAACATTTCAATTTATTGCAAGAAAAAAATAAGCTTAAGGAAGAGCATGAAAAAAATATTGAAAACTTTAGAGCAGAGAAAGACCAGTTGATCCAGGTGAAGAGCAAAATGGAAGAAGAATTACGTAGTCTGAGGAAGTCGGAAGAGGAGAGGTCTAGACTGGGTGGAGATGTTCAAAGACTGGAGACTGAGCTAACAAAAATGACACAGATTCAGGAAAATAACTCCACATTAACATCAGAACTGGAGAAAATTAAAGAAGAAAAAGGAAACCTCCTCTCTGATATAAAAGTTAAGCAGGAGGAACTAACACTTAAAAAACAATTGGAGGAGGACAATATACGATTAAGCTCGAGCCTGAAGAGTTCTGTTGAAGAAAAGAACAAGCTCCTGATCGATATACAGAGACTTGAAACAGAGGCAGCCAACAGAGTGAAAGATCTTAAGAGTGATTATAATACAGTTAAGGACACAGTGAAGAAATTAGAGCAAGAGAAAATGAAGATAGATGAGGAAAAGGTAAAGCTGAAGGAAGAAGTTAAGAAATTAAGATTAGTGGAGGAAGAGAAGAGAGACTTAGAATCAAAGAATATAGTTCTCGCCCAGAATATGGAGGAGCTTAAACTCAGGTATGTAACATATCGTAGTTCTATATGGAGAATGGTACTTCACTAGAAACAAATTTATTTTGGTTTCTACAGGAATTTCTTGCCTACAATAATATACTTACTAGTATATATATATATATATATATATATATATATATATATATATATATATATATATATATATATATATATATATATATATATATATATATATATATATATATATATATATATATATATATTTATATATATATATATATATATTTATATATATATATATATATATAAGATTTTATTTATTTAATTTTTTTAAGGTATACAGTACAGTACAGGTATATATTTGCCCAAGGTATACAAGCCTCCTCTTGCAATGATGCGGGGTAGGCATTTGGATGCTGATTCCTGATTCTTCATGATTAATTACTAAAGGGTTACCTTACCCACATAGCAGGTTGTGAGTCCATCATTGGCAGTCTTACTTGATAGTGTACACATACTTATTTTATGGGTGAGTGCAGAAGGGTTAAGTGTACATGGAGGGAACTCAATCCTCCATTCTGGTCCAGAATCAAACCCATGACAAAGTGCTTGCAATGTGAGCACTAAACCACAGAATAACAGAAATGTGAGTTCAATATGGTGTTGAGTATGTTGTTTGTGCCCTTCAACTTTTTCTCCAATGAATTCAATAATAATTTCTAGTTATGATTTAAGCATTAAATACATCATAGTTCTTACCAGATGGTGTAAATAATCACTACTGTTGTGAACTACTTTGTGTTGTGCATTTCAGGTCTTTGTACCTTTACAGGGGCAGATCCAGGAATATCAAAAGAGGGGATCCAAGAAGTTGTGGGTGGGGGAACATGGCGAGCACGGCAACCCCACCCAGCTGGGGGGGGAGGGACTTTATACCCCTGGAATTTTTTTAAAATCTGACCAATATCATTGGCATTTTGAGGCCATGTGCACTTGATATTTGGAGATATTCTGAGTTCAGAAGTAATTACTTGTTACTGTAAAAAAATGCCTGAGTTCAACACAGTACTGCATTTAAGCATAATTATTGGAATTTTCTGATGAAAAGGGAGTTGGTCCAGACCCCCAAGGACCCCCTCCCCCCTGGATCTGCTCCTGTTTTAAAAGATGCAGTATATGAGTTATGCAATGAAAAATTTCTCACTCGCTAATGTAAAATAAGTCTCCTTTTATGGTATCTTTGTAGGGATTTTTTTCTTGCTTTTTCCATTAGCTTTGTGGGTGTATCACTGACTTATTCATATGACTACTATTTTCTGTTGAATTACAGTCACATCAAATGTGAATTGTACTTCAAGCTGAGTTGAGAGAAGGTGTCACAATCATAGTTTGTAGGTGTGCCACTGTAATCCAGTTTCTTTTTTATCCTATGCCTAAATTACTTGTTAGTCCACTGACATCATGTCATTGATTGGCAGTTCTCTTGCTACCATCGGTGTTTGGAATTGTCAAACCTTCAATGAGCATCATTTTCATAGCTTTATGTGGAGAGTTAGTAAACATGTGATAAGCACTTTTTATTATAATACAGAATACTGTACAGTATTAGAAAAAATCCATACCTTTTGAAAAATTGTTTTTCTAATTTTTGAAAACTGAATTATTTTTATGTTGATAAGTTAATTAGAGAAATACGTTTCTTAGGTGTGTCATTAACATTGATTCGATACTTTTACACAAAAATAAGGTAAAATCATCATATGATGTTCCTTTAGTAGAAAAAATTAAATGTTGTTGTACCTTCATTTTGGGATATGTGAAGGAACTGTTGGGCATAAGGGGTATTTCTTAGGACACATATGAGACACATAAGCTTTGGTCCACTCATTTGTTTGTTTGACATTGGCTATAAAATAACATCATCAGGATCACCACTTCAGATATAGCCTCACTGTAACTCTGGGTGGTTGGGTGGTTCTACTCAGCTTTCAGTCTAGGTGAAACCCATATCTACTTCAAGGGTTGAATTTGGCTCTGTGAATCTTCATTAAACATTCAAGAATAGCAGACAAATAAAGGTGTTTTCTGCCATGTTTATTTTGTGCCAATCTCTAAAGGGAGTTAAGGAAATGACATAAAATTGGAGTTGAAAACTCACTTAAGCAGTTACACATTTTTTTTGTGGATCTTTATCAAAAACTTTATTGGTAATGCCTCACTTAATATTTCAGCTCATATGAGGCAAATAGCTTGGTCATGATAAATTTATAACCTTAAAGTTTCACATTTTGAGCTCGTCTTCCAGTTGATTTTCCACTCGCTTCTCATCATAATACATTTTTCTTTGAACTGTACAAGTATAAAGTAACCGACTAGAGCTAAGTTTTTAACTAGTAATTTTAGTCTATCTTTTCATGTTACCAAGGGGGAAAACACTCTTGGTAAATTTGTATTCATTCATGAACGTTCATTTATACAATAATTATTTTAAAGCAACCCCCATTGGACTTTAGACATTGAAATTTGGTCCATATTTTTTTTTTTTTTTTTATGAGTATTAGTGCCCAGAAGTTGAAAAAAATTAAGTTTGGAGAAAACCATTTTTTTCCCTACAAGTTCGAAACTAATGAAGCAATGGTGTTGTTATATGCTGGAAAGGCTACTAGTTTATTTTACAAGTGAATATGAGTCATATCTAGCATTTTATATGCCAATAATGAGTAACACACCTGGAGGGAGGAGAGTGGGAGGCAGCAGCAGTGGTGGGTGGCATGGTGTTGGAGTTGCCTTCTTTTAGGTTTGTTGCATTTTATAATCCTTCTCAACCCTCAAAAGACTTACATCACTCTTCCTAGACATCTCTCAAATATTTTTGGAACTTTTTATAAAGGTTAAAGATCAAATAAAGCCAAAATAGAGTAGAGACAGCAAGAGTGGCTGTAGCATACAAACACTGACATCTGCATTTGTACTGAGGAAGAATTGTCTACTAGTATGCTGACATAGTTGCCCAAATGTCGCATAGCATATTTCATTATAAAATATCTAAGAACAGGCCTCAAGAACATAAAATGACATAGACAGTGGCTGCACTAGTTGCCCCCCCCCCCTTGCCCTCCACGAACCCCTCCAGCACCCCTGACCTCTCTGTTGCACGTTTGACAGGCATGGCCATATAAAGCAGGGATGGGGTCAAATGCGCATGTCCATTACAACAGCAAACATGACTGACGATTACATATTGGGGAAATCGCAAATTTCATTACTACAGTACCCAGTTTATACGACGATTTTTTTTGGGGGGGGGGGGGCAGAGCTCTTTTGAGTTTAGCGGTTGGTGGGAATTCTTGCCATGAATATGCAAATTTGTATTTCATGAATTATCAAGACTGGGGGAGGGGGTAGTCCAGACCCCCGATCCACCCCTGTTTTAGAAGATAGAAGATGCAGCATATGACCTTTGCAAATAAAAGTTCTCACCATCAAATTAAAAAAAAGCTAATGTAAAATATGTCTCCTTCTATGGTATCTTTGTTGGAAAAATTATCTCTCTCTCTTCTCTTCTCTTCTCTCTACTTTGTGTGTTAGGTGTGTTATGCAAACATTTCTAAATGCCACGGTAATACTTCCTCTTCTGTTTAACCCATAAATGATGGCTAACATTTTAACACTCTTGGGTTTATGGAGGTGCTCTCCAGTGAGACGCTCGGGGTCTGGCTATTGGAGATAAAAAGGTGAGGTTTGTTGCATTAGTATTGTAAATAAATTACAGTGGTCCCTCGGTTAACGAGCACAATCCGTTCCAGCAGGTTGCTCGTTAACCGAAAAACTCGTTAACCGAAACCATTGTTTCAATGGGTTTTTGGGTAATTGGTTCCAGCTCACCGAAAATTGCCTTAATTCAACAAAAAAGGTAGAAAAGGACACTTACTTTGAGGTGTGTATGTAGAAGGCTCCTGGATGATGATGATGATGATGATGATGATGGGAATTAGAATGGGGGTGGAGAAGAAGGGAGAAGAGAAGGCATTGGGGTGGAAGAGAAGTCACCCCATGGCACCATTTCACCCATAAAATTTTAGTTCTCTTGGTGTAATTCAAGATTATTTTCTTTAAATCAACACTGCACTGCATTATATATTGTCAATATGTAAAATAAATTTCAAAATGACCAATAATTTGCTTGGAAACACAGAAAAAAAGCATTCAGTTGAGGAGAGTCTCAAGCAAGATGTTACCTCCACTAAAAACAGAGAGAGACTAACGCCTGTCTGGTGTGTTAACAGGCTGGATGGCATGCCAGAAACTAGTTTCTTTACCTTCAATTATGTTCAATAATTGTTAAAATGACTAAAAAAGTTAATATTAAACTTTTAAAATTATTGAATAGTATAAACTTCTTGATATTTACTAAAATAATAAGGAATTTAAGCCCTAAAACCGATTAATGTATTGGCGGACTAATACTACAGCTGGTGGACCGCCAAATGCAAGCGAAAACATGTTGAAGTCGGCTCGTAAAAAACTTGTTAATCGAGGGATTGCTCGTTAACCGAAGTTAAGAATCTTATGGAAGGTAAATCGTTAACCGAAATCTCATTAACCGAGGTGCTCGTTAACCGAGGGATCACTGTATCTACAAACAGTTTTATGTGAGTAATCACAATAAAATAATTATATCTATACGTAAGGGCGAGTAGAACACAAAATATTTGTTGACGCTTAATAAACATGTTTATACATCACTTTATACCTTCGTTATTTCATGTGATTGCAATATGAACTTTGTTCCATTATAAAGCGTACATATTTAGCAAAAAAAAAATAATTATACAAGAAAAGTTGTGAAAAAAATAATATTTCACTAGTGCAATACAGTACAGTAGTGGTATAAATTGTGTGTTGTGATGAGTGTACCCAGGCCAAGTACAGATTATTAATGTTTTACCCTCAGAGTGCAAGAGATAATTGCACATATTGAGTCATAGTAAGCTTACTATTGGAGATAAAAAGGTCGGGTTTGAGCATTAACATTGTTAATA